CTCCTGCATGTTTCCTTGCATGGGTATGAGAGAGGGCAAGGGGGGTCCTAACAAATAGAAATCTGGCACTTAGTCCTGTCTGCCTTTCCTGCTCTATCCCCTCCTGTGAGATTGTCACTTCTCTGGGCCTCTGTTTACCATCTGCAGAATGAAGAAACTGGACAATTGTAGTGGCTTTCAAGCGTCTGACCATAACTCTGCAGATGAAATACATTTTACTGCAGAACTCCAAACTCACCAAATCTGCGCCTGTGTCAATGGAACAAATGCCTCACAACATAACTACTACTATTACTGTTGTGATATGCTGGATTTTCCTACTATTCCAGTCCAGAGGATCACTGGTCATGTCTGCAGCCTGTTAGTGCACACAGTGGCTTAGAACTGGAGCTGGATATTGCAATTTCTGGGGAGCTTAACAGTTATGATGCCCAGGCCCTTCCCCTAGACATCCTATTTAACTGCTTGGGTGCCAGAATCTCGCCACCTCCACTGCTCTACGCTGGGATGAGCCAACACCATCTCCCTTTCTCCTTATACCCTCTGTAGTCAATACTGCAGTTGAAGAGATTCTGTTAAGATACATTCAGATCATGTCACTCCTGAGCAAAACCCTGATGGTTTCCATCTCAATGACTAGGCATCAGCGATGGGCAAGCCTTCTGATTTCCCTCCAAAACCTCCTCTCCCTGCTTCAACCACCATGGTTTCCTGACTTCCTCAAATCTATCAGATCAGTTTGTGCCTCAGGGGCTTTGCCTTCTGTTCCCCATTCCTGGTATGCTTTTACTCCCCATATTTTGGGATTTGCTCCCTTTCCTTTCATTCTTGTTCAAACCTTACCTTCTCATTGAGGCTCCCCTCACTATCTCTTTTACGACTGTAACACTCGCTGGCACTGCTGCATTTTTCTCCACAGCATTTTATTATATATTTTAGTTATCTTTCATATATACACTCTGTTAATGCGGCAATTAATTTTTTTAAATTGCTGAACTCTCAGTGCCTGGAACAGTACTCAGCACAAATACGTGTATGCTGAACAAAGGAATGAATAAAAGCAGGTTTTGTACCTAGGTAGAAGGTAAGGCCTTAGTGAGGGGAGTGGTACAGTTTGGGGTTTTACACTTATTTGAGAAGAATATGTATTTACTGGGTCAAGGAGCTGAATGTAGTTGAGAGGTAGTTAACAAAGCGAAGAGGTCAGTTACACAATTGGTGGTATATGTCACCCTCAATTTAGAAAATGTTTACTTAGGTAAAAGACTTAGGTCTAGGAAGTAAATAAGTCGGTAGAGGAGATCTTCAAGGCTAGGAGGTATTTAGGCAAATCAACAGGCCTGTCTCAGTCTGAGCTGTATGGGTATATGTGGAAAGGGGTTTGGGGGGGAATCTATTCAAGGAAGATATTTACCCTATTGAGATTTCTCCTTTGCTCGAATATTTTCTTATGGGAGTGGGCTCAGTCTCTCATAATGAAGAGCATCTGTCTGGGTGGGTATATGGTTCCCCCTTCCAGTTGGGAAGAAAAAGATGTAGCCACACCTATTTTTCTACGGGAAGAGACACATGTAAACTCTCATCCGCCAGGGCCAGAAGTTCTACACCAATTCAGGAAGGACAGCTACCAGCTAGCGTGGAAGAGGGCGGCCACGCCTACGTATGGTACAGTGTAGTCGCGTCCCCAAATAAATACGACCTGGGTGAAGGTGACCCGGACCGGATTTACCTGGGTTAAGTTCTTACCTTGTAGGAAAGATGCAGAGCCATCCGGCCGGGAAAGCAAGTTCTGTTCGCAAGCAAAATGCCGGAGGCTGCAGCCAGGGACGCGAGCAACCGGCTCTGTCCCAGACTCTGGGCGAATCTTGGCGTCAGTGTGCATCGCTCCTTCCATCGCCCCCAACCCCACGTGCAGACCCGACAGTTGCTGTTTTCCGGAAGCGCGTGCTGGCGTACAGGCTGTGTACTCAGTGCGCACGCGCCGATTCGGAACGCGGGGGCGCCAGGAGCCGCGTCGCACGTGGCTCCTGGTTTACTAACAATCTGGTTCCGCCCATCCCGCCCCGCAACTTCAGGGAAGCCATTGGATAGCAGCGGAGAGAGGGCGGGCCTTGGCAGGGGCTCGTCCTACCCGAGGTCCCCGGGCCCTAAAAGACTGAGGCTCTGGAAAGGTGGTCCTTTTCCTTGCCTGTTACAAAAACAACTACGATGAGAACATCAGAGTATTGATGGAGAAGCGCATATATTTTCTCCACCTATATACATGTTGTAGAGACAGAATGGCTGGCATCAGGCGGCTTGTTGGCACGGTGGTGTTGGTATGTGAGTCAGGCACTACAAGGGACAGCCCCAGTCCAGCCGAGCCAGGGGCGGACCGTCTAGCGTAGTCAACCAAGATGGCGGTGGCAGCTGCAGCGGCGAGGGTCGGGGGGCTGCGTCGAGTCCTGAGCCAGGCTGGCTTCCTGTTCCTGCGGCGGCCCGGAGCGCGGGGGTTGGCTAGATCTGTGAGTAACTGGGAGCTCTCCCCAAGGGGGAGTAGGCATGTCATCGCTGTCTTCAGTGTGGGCCCCTGCAGAGTAGGGGAAGGTTTGTCACTGAAGCTGTGCAGGAACTGGGAGAACTACTTGAAGAGGACATTCAAGGGAAGAACCTCCATTTCCTGAGGAGAGGAGAAGCACAGCAGCTGCTTTGTGGGCGCTGAAGAAGGAAGGCAATGTGGAGAGAGGGAGAGCCGTTCCTCAGGTGTCAGTGTGCCCCCAGGAGGAAGGCGACCTTTCCGCTCTCAGGGTTGTTGTGAAAATTAGATAAAATTTGAAAAATTTAAAAAGTAAAATCAGGGGCTTCCCTGGTGGCGCAAAGGTTAAGCACAGCTTTGTGAAGCTGTCCGCAGCCTCTGCAGCACGAGTTCGATCCCCAGCCAGGGAGCTACCCACATGGCGCGGCAGACCTCTCCTGACTCGCCCGCCGCGCCCCTCAGCGTGTTTCAGTCAATCCGCCTGTTCTGCTCCCCACTCTGTCTCTGGCGAATCCTCTCACCCCCTGCACCTCTGGCTTATACCCCAGTTCTTGTATGCATAAATAAGTACATCTGTTTTTTTTTAAAAAGTAAAATTAAGTGCTAACAACAGGATCTGGCGTATAATAAGGGCAATAGGGATGTTGGCCGCTGTTGAAAGAGAAAGTGGGAGAGTGAAACTGCCTTAGTAAGGGAGAGATTTTTTTCCTGCATGAAGGACTCCCTCCCACCTCCCTTTCAGGGGAAAAAAATAGATGTAAGGTTTCCTGTCATGGGCTTTTAATAGTGCCCTGTATTTCTTCGCTCACATTCTGATTTTAAAATGAGTTGCATAAAAAAGTCATTTTCCTGGTCACCCCCCTCCCCCCGCCCCCACCCCATCAAATGTGAGGGCAGAGACTGTGCCTGTTTTGGTTACTCTACAGAGGTGACGATAGTCAGTGGTGGCTGAATTAACGAGAAGAGAGAGGAGGGAGAAAAGTCCAGACAGGGCACTTTGCCCCTGTTTCTTAGAAACACTTGAGAAACACCTCGTTTCTTGTTCTAAGGCTTGGAATAAGGTTGAGGCTGCTAATGTGGCAAGCAGCAGAAATCTAATTGGGAGCCTCTGTGTAGGAAGAGAGGCAGTGGGCTGCAGAAGAGTTAGGAACTAAAAAGTCACAGACGTGAGAGCAGTGGTTCAGGTGGTTACTAAAGTTAGACCACCCTTCCCTGCTCTGCCTTTCCTCAAGGGGCTGCTCCTCTTTGGACTTAAATTTTCCCCTCCGGGAAATGGTAGCTTTGGCTCCCTACTAGGGTTGATCTGAATATGAAATCGGTGAAGTGATAAGAACTGGCTATGATAGGACAATGGGAATGTTGTGACCGTTGAAAATGAGGGTGGAGAGAAGGGACAGAAACTGACCTTGGAAATGGGGAGAAGGAAGGAGATGACCCTGGGAAAGGGCCTGTATTGGTGAGGGCCCTGAAGGAAATCTGTCAAGATTTCTGTCCTGTCCAGTTGGTTTAGACCCTCTGATCCCCAGTCTGTTAGGAAGGGAAGTTGGAATCTGAGGGAAGAAGCTCTAGGTAGGGAGAAATAGGATGAAGGTGGGGGTCAAGAGGATGGGCCAAGAGTGAGGTACAGAGACCCAGAAAGGGAGTCACTTAAAGCAGGTGATTGTGGAAGAGCTGCTGGAGCAGGGTGGGGGTGGGGCAGTCTCCTGCCTTTGGTGTGTTCTCTGTGGCTTTTTTTGGAGCAGTCAGAGCCTCCCCAGCTGATCTCAGTGGGAAGAGCCCATTGGTTGAGCCAGTGGGGCGGGAGGTGGGCGGAGGGGGTAGGGATAGGGAAAGGTCATTTATAGCTGATTAAATCTGTTTCCCTCCTGGCTCAGTCTGCTGCCCTTCCCTCTTGCCTCTCCTTCATTTTTTGGGGGGAGGGGGGCCGATCGGATGTCTTTCAGTTCCTATTCATTATTTTTATATATTTGGAGTCCCTGTGTTCTTTTTTTTCCTTCTCACTTTATCTAGCTTATTCTTTCTAAGATTAAAAAGAAACACTTTAGTGCAGTGGGCTGGGGTGAAGGGAAGGAGTGGTAGCGTTTAGTCACAGGAGATTATAGGCCAGCAGAACTGTTGTGAAGACAGAGTATTTCATATTGGTGCTATCCAGAACAGTAGCCACTGACTGCTATTAAGCTCTCAAAATGTGGCTAGTGTGACTGAGGAACTGACGATTTTTCTTTATTTAATTTTAAGGAGCTTAAGTTTAAATAGCCACAAGCAATCAAGGCCAATCAAGGTGGAGCCACAAAATGGTGCCATGGGGGCAGGTTGGGAGACTGCATTGAGCCAGACTGCGTTGTTGGTGCCAACTGGGTGAGGAGGATGACCAGGGCTGCATTCTCCGTACCTGCCCGCCACCCCCCTTCCACTGTGCCTTTTCCTGAACACCCTGTTGCCTCAGAGTTTTGCTTGACTTCTACCTCCCTTCCTTCTGTTCCAGTTGCTAGCAGATGTTTTAGTGGTTCAGGGAGAAGAGGAGGAAGGAAACTTCAATTGTCAAGGGAGTCCTCGCTGGTTTCTCAACCACCACCCCAAAAAGCAGGTGGGACCTCGGCCAAGACACTTTATTTTTCTGAGCTTATTGAATGGGGGAACAGAGTTCCTGGCCCATTGAAGTCAGGGAGCACCTGGAGCTTGGACGGTGTGATGGTGAACGACCAAATGGCATCTTTCACTCGTATCCAGAAAGCCATATCTGATTGTCTTTACACGAAGGAGTTTTATTCGAGATGGTCATCAAGGGATAGGCACCCTAAAACACCTGGCTCCTTGCATGTGAGAGTGCAGTGATTTATTTTTTTTACCTTTTAAAATGGCAGGCTTATTAGAAGGAGAAAGAAAAGAGAGGCACCTGCACAGTCTCAAGTGGGCAGGAGAGCTGCCGGGAGAGCAGCAATGTTAAGGAAAGGAAGGTAGCAATGGGACGGAAGTTTGGGGCTTAACATCTCCAGGTCTGAGAATGTGCCTGGGAGTTTGGATGCCATAAGTCAGGGTGTTTGACTTTCCCAGGAAGCGTTTTCTCAGCAGCCAGCAGATGTTTGTTTCTGATATTATAGAGGCACAGATATTTTTATTAAGGTTAAAATATAGTCAGTTTTCCCAAATCTTCTAGAAATGTTCATTGGAGCCAGTTAACGGTTAATCATAAGGAGGGAATGGGGGTGGGGTGGGGCACAATTCAGAGAGTTAATAGTTAATCCTATAGAGGGAATGCAGTTCAGTAGTTAGTTTGAAGTTTCAGTTATTCCTAATTCTTAGTCTCTTGCAAAATGGAGGGGACCCAGCTTCACAAATTAGCAGTAATGTTACTTCCCCAGTGCAGCTGTCTGAGCCGCGTGTCAGTATGCCATTGCCGGTGCAGTGTCCTCAAGTTGTCTGTGCCCAGTATGTCTGGTGGCCCGAATGGAGCTGGTGGTTACTGGTCTCTTAACTGTTTGGAGCTCGGCTTTTTTTTTTTTTTTTTTTAAAGATTTATTTATTTATACATATAAGAGCTGGGGTGTAGGCCAGAGGTGCAGGGCCTAGGGGAGTGAGAGGATTCACCAGAGACAGAGAGGGGAACAGAACAGGAGGATCTACTGAAATACACTGCTGAGGGGAGCAGCAGGCAAGACAGGAGAGGTCTGCTGCGCCATGTGGCTCAGCTCCCTGGCCGGGGATTGAACCCGTGACACGGCAGCTGGCAATAGCTACATAGTGCTGAGATTTAACCAGTTCCTTGCGCCACCAAGAAGGCCCCAAGATGGACTCTTATCACAACATGAAGCACTTCTGGTTTACATTGCCAGCTCACACCCTTATAATATTTCATACTGCCACACTGCAAGGCACGTACTGGTGGTATTCTGTTATAGGTGAGGAAACTGAGGCTCAGATTGTCATGGCCTGACTGTGGAGCTTGGATTTCTTTCATTGTAGCAGGCTGCCTGGAGGAGAAGGACTCCAAGGATTTGCTTCATGTCTTGTAACATTCTGGGGGTCCAGCGCTGGTGTGTGTCACCAGCCTCTGCCCAGCCTAGCAGGGCTGGTGGAAGCTGGGTGGGAGGAGCCACCCCAGCCCACTGGCCATTTTCCATTGGTTGAACCCCTCTCACCCAGAGGCCTTCCTGGGCTATGACTCTTCAGATGTCAGCTCACAAGCCCCACCCTCAGAGAAGCTTTACCAGTCTCCACAGCAACACCAGTCTCCATCTATAAAATGGGGTCAGAGAGATGGGGTGAGGAGTAAAGAAAGTGGTTCTTGAGAAGCCCTTACTACATATTCTGTATGCTCGGTTAGGCTTAAGAAAGGGAACTGCTGGTTTTCTCCAGGGACCATAGATCTGCTGTGACCAGGATTGACACAGGCAAGGGTGCCTCCCTAGGCCTGTCTTCTTCCACTGTCTGGGGGAGCAGAGTGCTGCAAAGGCACTCTGAGGCCAGAAAAAGCCTGATTAATCTCTACACTTTGCAGGCCTTCCGGTCTCCCAGAAAGGGTAGTTGCTGACATTCCTGAGCTGGAAGCAAAACCAGGGAGCATGCTATTTGAGGGCAGAGAGCCTTAGACCTGGGAGAGTGTGGGTTGGGTGACCTTAGCTATCCTAGAGTCAGGGGACACAGCTAACTGGCACCACCCACAAAGCCTTCCACGTGGGACCCACCCTCCTCCTGCCTCCCCAGGCAGTAGTGGTCAGCCTGGCTTCTGATTCTGACATCACTTCTGATGATCTCCATGCCTCCAAGCCTCAGGGCCATGTCTGACTTGGGGAGGTGTAGTGACAGGGCCTGCCTCACCTCACTGTGGTGCTGGGCCAGTTAGCGCAGAGGCAGAGACTTAGCTGCTGTTAGTCTGTTAGTACTGGGCTGCACCTTTCGCTCTCCAGGGCTGCAGTAGCCAGGCCCCGTGCTGCCTCAGAGCCTTTGTTGTTCCCGAGGACTGAGGCTTCTTCCCCTGACTTACCCCTGCTTGCCACAGGCCCCATGGGCTTTACTCCCTTTGTCCAGGAAGCGTTTCCTGATGGGAGGCTTCATATGATGCCTGCTAATGAAAGGTTCCTCTTAGGGCTATGGCAGGTGCTTTATTCCCACCCCATGACAGACTGTGAGGTTGAAATGCTCATTATCTCCACCAGGGGACGCAGGCTCGTGCAAAGTATCTCCTCCAAGGCGACACAGCTGGGAAGGCCAGAGCCAGATTCTACACAAGCAGTTTAGCTTTGGGGTCCCTCATCCTCCCCTCGCTGTGGTTAGCCACTAAATCGGCTTCCTCTGAGATCGTCCCTCTTGAATGTGACTTGTCTGTAGTTTTGTCATCCTCTCTCTGTCATCTCTCACCCTCCGTTCAGGGCCTTACCTGGGGCCAGTATTCAGCATTTCCCTTTTAAACTGTAGCACTGGACAGATGCACATGTTAATTACTTGTATTTCTGGAGCATTCATACTGGCTGATCCTCATGACAACCCGTGGGTTGTCCTCATACCCCTTCAGGTTACACAGGAGGAAGCAGGCTCGGGGAGCTCCATGCCCTTAACCTTGGTGTCCGAGGGAATGGCCCCGGGGACCAGTACCTGCCAGGGAGACCAGGCTTCCTGAACAGGCTTCTGCTTCCTGCACGGTGGGAGAGGATGTGGCTAAAAGGCTTTGTGTAACTCTGTGTAACCTTTGCCGTTGTAAGTCACCAGCCACCAGGCAGACTCACTCCCCTCAGAAGAAAAAGTGGGTGGAGTCACATCCTTCCTCTGCAGGCTTATCATCACCCACTCTCACAGTGGAGTGTTTCCTTAGGGCCAGGTGCTGTGCTCAGCCCTTTACGTGGCTCACTGAACCCACAAGTAACCTGGGCTTAGGTACCACCTTCACCTCTGCAGGCCCAAGAAAGACGGGGCACAGCCAGGCCCCATGCTGATGTTTGGGGTGCATAGGGTGCCCTGACAGTAGCTTTCCAGGTGGACAGAGCCCTGTCCTGACCCCCCGGTTGGTTCTGAGCCATCAGATCCTCTCCTGACCTCTGCGGGCCCCTAGCTCACCCTTTTTGGGCCGTTCCCAGACCTCAGCCCCCATCCTGTTGCCTGGGCACCTGCCCTCTGCCTCTGTCTCGAGCGTCTATGGGACCTGGCTCTGATACTGCCATCCAGTTTGAGGTGCAGTCAGTCCTTCTCCCCAACACCTCTTTCCTCATCCTCTTACCAGTCACTTCCCCTCTTCCCATTTCTTCACCTTCTAGATTTTGCACTTTTCCCTTCTACTGGTTTTTGAACACAGTCTGTCCTTGGCTGAACCCTTGTGTGCCTTATCTTAGGAGCCTCTCACAGTAACCCTCTGCAGCCTTTTTACAGATGAGGAAGTTCAGAATGACCAAGTGATTTGCAGAGGGCCATGCAGCGGGTTAAGAAATTGGAACCCAGGCCAACCAGACGCCTAAGCCGGTGAACTTAACTGCTCATTCATCTGCTAGTAAAGTGAGTGCCTGTGGCGCACCTGCTGAGTAAGCTGACCTGACCAGGGCCCTGCCTCCTGAAGCTTGTGATGTGTATGAGACAGAAATAGAGCCAGGGAAGCTGGTCTGCAAGAGTTTGCCTGGAAGCCTGCACGATGTAGTCACGCCTGAACCTGCCCTGCTGTTGGGAGTGTAATTTCCTTACAACCACAAATGCAGATGCGCTCACATGTGTTCACACCCCCCCCCACCCCCTGCTAGAGCCTGGATGGCTTCCTCCTGACAGTTGCAGGCGGGTGAGGGGGCAGGGTCCTTGAGCACCCCTGTTTGTGATCTGGCTCCCGGCAAACCCAGTCATTTTTTTTCAGCTCCTGTTAGAAGTGAGGACATGATTACTGAGCTGAGCACAGTCTGAGGAGCAGTGGGAAGAAGAGATGAAGACAAGGGGGATGCAGTTGGGTTTAGAGCAGAGGTTTCGGGCCCCAAAAGTCAGCCCTGCTTAAGTTTGAATCCCAGTCCTGACTTGTGGCCCAGAGTTTATTTGACCTCTGTGGACCTCATGTCTTCATCTACTCAAGGCAATAGTAAATAGTAGTAAGTAACGCTAAGTGATAGTGCTGATACTAAGTAATGATGACAGTAAATAACGTTCGCCTCACAGACAGGCTCTGAGGATGTGGTTAGGTTGTGCTGGCAGCACTGTCTGCAAATGCTCATCAAGGGGAGCTGTTGCAATGCTCAGGCCAGTTCAAGGCTAGCTCGTGAGCTAAGAAATCCAGTTGCCTCAGCCTGTTGCATATGTAGGCTTTTCACACACTTTCTCAGCTAAGCCTCCTCTGCTTCTCTGCTCCTTCTCTTGGGGGAGAGATGAGGCTCCCCACAGGCTGCTCTGGCTTCTCTGAACTCCTTCCAGGTTCCACAGGGGACATGTTAGACCTCACCTTTTGCGTTTGCTGTTCTGTCCCCTTGGCCTTGAATGTTCTTCCTTAACTCCTAGATATTCTTCAGGTCTCAGCTCTCTCTCACCTTGCTACCTCAGAGAAGCCTCCCTCTTTTGCCCTTCTGCTGTAGCCTCACGGCTTCTGAGAAAGGAATGATCCACACCGTGACTTGTTCAGCATCTGTCTTCCTCCTGGGCAACAGAGTTAGATGTTTTGTCTCTTTAGGTCCTCAGAACCCAGCCGAGGGCTTGCAACGAAGCAGGTGCTCAAATATTTGTTGAGCGAGTCAGTGTGGACCCATGAGAGTCTTGGGCCTGGGCTGGAGAGGGCCTTGACGCATGTGGGGCGGTGTGCCAGGTGAGAGGGAGATGTTCTATTGAGAGGAGAGTCCACACTTCTCAAGCATTTGCTCTGTGGCTTACCTACAGCGCTCTGCTAGACATTTCATGTACATGATATGGTTTAAGCCTCACAACATTTCTGTGGGTGTCTTCTGTTTCACAGGTGAGAAAATAGACTTGAAGAGAGAATGTCACCTTCCTAAGTCACCCAGAAAGGGATGTGACCCAGGTGGGCTGACTCGAGCTCACAGATCTGAGCTCCAAGCTGGGTGACCTCCTTGGGGTCACAGGGGTCAGCAAAGAGCCCATTAGCCTGAGGGTTTCTGGGGGTGGGGGTGGCTTGTGGAAACAGTGGGAGATTTAGAGGGGGTATCTGGTCAGACCAGGGTGGCCTTGAATGCCTGGGTAAAGTCTGGGTCTCTGACGATGATAATAGCTGCCAGTTCTTGAGCTGCCTGCCACTTAATACTGGATAAGATGCCTCCCTCATGGTGCAAGGGGTTAAGATGCAACCTATGAAGCTATCCACAGCCACTGCAGCATGAGTTTGATTCCTGGCCAGGGAGCTACCCACATGGTGCAGCAGACCTCTCCTGTGTTAGCCGCTGCTCCCCTCAGCAGTGTATTTCAGTGGATCTGCCTGTTCTGCTTCCCACTCTGTCCCTGGTGAATCCTCTCACCCCCCCCCCAACCCCCACCCTCTGGCCTGTACCTCAGTTCTTGTATGCATAAATAAATACATCTTTAAGAAAAAAAGTACTGGGTAAGACTAAAGGAAATTTGATGAGTGACTTATTCTTCATAGCAACCTGTAGCATAGATAGTTGCATTTTCCTCCCGATTTTGCCGATGAGGAACAGAGGCATAAAGAAGTTCTATTAATGGGCCTCCCTGGTGGCGCAAGGGGTTAAGACGCAACCTGTGAGGCTGTCCACAGCCACTGCAGCATGAGTTTGATCCCCTGCCAGGGAGCTGCCCACATGGCACAGCAGACCTCCTCACTCACCGGCTGCTCCCTTCATATTCAGTCAATATGCCTGTTCTGTTCCCCACTCTGTCTCTGGTGGATCCTCTCACCAACCCCCCCACCTCTGGCCTGTACCCCAGTTCTTGTATGCATAAATAAATTAATCTTAAAAAAAAAAAAAGAAGTTCTACTAAGTTGCCTAAGGATCCAACCCCATGTGTCAGGGCCCAAGAGACCACCAGGGCTGTAGTAGCTAAACTGCAGGCCATGCTGCCTGCTTGTGGGGTTGGAACCTCAGCAGAACCTCGGTGCCCCTTCTGACATGGTGTCCCCTGTATCTTCTCTCCAGCACCCCCAGAGGCAGCAACAGCACTTCTCATCCCTGGATGACAAGCCCCAGTTTCCAGGGGCCTCGGCGGAATTTATTGACAAGCTAGAGTTCATCCAGCCCAATGTCATCTCTGGAATCCCCATCTACCGCGTCATGGACCGGCAGGGCCAGATCATCAACCCCAGCGAGGATCCCCAAGTGAGAAGCCGCCTTTCCCACCCCTGCCTTCCATGCCCAGGCCCCTTGCCCATCTTCTCTCTGGTTCCAACTGCCCCACGTCTGTCTGTACCTCCATCTGCAGCTGCCCCAGGAGAAGGTGCTCAAGTTCTACAAAAGCATGACCCTGCTCAACACCATGGACCGCATCCTCTATGAGTCCCAGCGGCAGGTACACAGGGACAGCCTGGGGATGGGGCTTGGAATGACTGAGGTTCCCCAACCTATGTTTGAATTAGTGGTTGGCTCCCCGTGAGCACAGAGTGGATGAAGATCCTTTATCTTGAGGTCCTTAGAATTCTTGGGGTTTTATTGGGGTTCTGGAGGAAAGGGGTGGCAGGGTCCTGCCCCAGGGCAGAAGGATGGACCAGATCACTAGAAGCTCCTACCATGTGCCAGGCTGGGGGTTTAGCTGTGCTGGGAGAGGGCAGGTGGGGATCTGCCAGCTCTTCCTCTGGGAGCTCACAGTCCTAGAAGCAGCATGAGCTCTGCTTCCTGGAATGCCGTGTCATCTTCAGTGCTCCCCAACAGTGCTGGGTGGGCGCATAGAGACCAGTCAGAAGCATCAATAGCGGGACCTTATGGATGCAAATCACCACAAGGGCCCAGGGTTCCATTTCAGGTACATCTAAATCCAGGGGCCCCAAAGATATTACTCATTTCTCGCTCTTCTATTTTCTTTTCTCGGCCTTGACTTCCTTCATTCTCAGGCAGCGGTCATCTCTAGAAACTCCTGGCTTTTGAAAAGGTGGCAGGGAAGGAATTTGGGGTACAGGTCCTGGAGCAGGACTGCCTAAGTCTTCATTCTGCCACTTTCTGGGTCCCCCCCAGTAACATCTGCTCAGCGTTCGTTGTTCCCACCTAGCTGTAAGGGAGACTGGGAAGTGTAGTCCTTTAGTTTTGGCAGTTGCTGCCTGCAGTGGGATGAGATCCCTGTCAGCAGAGAGAAAGGGGATAGGCTGTTGGGTGGAATCAGGTCCCATTTCCTTAGAGGGCCCCTCTCAGGCTCCTCCTGGTGCCAACCTTAAAGCCCTCAGCACCCACCCACTCACTTGGCATTGGCAGGTCAATTAACTTTTAATTGGCTCCCCACTTAGAAGAAAGCATTATTCATCTGGTTCCTTTACCCCAATAGAAAAGCCAGGCCTGCAGAACACAGGGCTGGGCAGAGGCCTCCCCCAGGTGCCAACCCAGGTGCTCTCTGTTTCACTTGACATGTGCTTCGAGGGAACTCATTTTCGTGTCTGTGCCAGGGACTCTCCAGATCCGCCAGCCCTCATCTCTAAGCCCCTGATCTTCTCTCCCTGGATGTCCCGCACCAAATTCAGCCTGTCCAGACTTGACCTCAGCATCATCCTCCCAGACCTGGCTTTCTTCCTCCTCAGGCCATTTCTCAGTGCAGGATACTGCTGTCTATCCATGTGCCTTAGTGGAGACCTGAATCTCACCCCTGTCCCACTCACCCCTCCGCTCACTCTCCCCTCATGCGCTCTGTCTTGGTATATAGTTAGAAGTCTGTTCTGTTGCTCAGCAGTCCTGTCAAGGACCCAGACTTCCTATCTTTTTGCTTCACCCCTGTGGGCAAGTTGGCGTTCATCCTGTAGTTGTTGCCTCATCGTCCCAAGATGGCTGCTGCGGGTTCAGGCTTTGCAGCTATGGGCAAGGCAGGAAGAAGGGTGGCACCAGCTGCAGTGATCTTTTATCAAAAATTGCAGGGCCTCCCTGGTGGCGCAAGGGGCTGAGATGCAACCTGTGGGGCAGTCCGCAGCCACTGCAGCACGAGTTCGATCCCGGCCAGGGACCTGCCCACATGGTGCAGCAGACCTCTCCTAACTCGCCTGCTGCTCCCCTCAGCAGTGTATTTCAGTCATTCTGCCTGTTCTGTTCCCCACTCTGTCTCTGGTGGGTCCTTTCACCCCCCACACCTCTGGCCTGTACCCCAGTTCTTGTATGCGTAAATAAATCTTAAAAAAAAAAATAAAATACAGACTTCACCTATGCCTCTCACTAGAAATGTGTCCCGTAGCCGCCTCTGGCCGAAAGGTGGCTGGGAACCTGAACGCTTGGTTTTTCCAGGCTCTGGATTTGGACCTCCGGACATTGAACCAGTGTACTAGCCAGCAAGGTCTGCCTGACATTGTTGCCACTGGCACTTTTTTTCCATCCGTTTTTATTGACTGGCCATTCGTATACATAACTATAATTTGGGGAGTACAGCTTCTCTTCCTTCATGCTCCACCACCTCCAGGGCCCGCATACCATCACACCACCCCCGTTCCCCCGCTCTCTCTTCTCTGGCAATCACTGTATTTTTCAGAGTCTATGAGTTATTTTTTCTTAAAGATTTATGCATACATGAACTGGGGTGTAGGCTAGAGGTGCGGGGGCTGAGAGGATTCACCAGAGGCAGAGTGGGGAGCAGAACAGGCGCATTGACTGAAATACACTGCTGAGGGGAGCAGCGGGCGAGACAGGAGAGGTCTACTGTGCCATGTGGGTAGCTCCCTCGCTGGGGATCGAACTCATGCTGCAGTGGCTCAAGATAGCTTGATAGTGCTGAGTCTTTACCCTCTGGGCCACCAGAGAGACCCCTTCTATTAGTTATTTTGTTATGTTTTGTTAGTCTGATTTGTATGATGATTTATGTTCATAAATGACTGACACCATCTGGTAACTTTCCCTTTCTGACTTGCTTCCCTTAGTGTCCTGGCCTCTAGCTCCATCCGTTTTGTTCAGGAAGGAGCTGCTCCACCTTAGTAGCTGGGTGTTAGCCCATTGAGTCTGCACCCCACACTTTCATTATCCAGTGACTGCTTCGTAAGACCTCATCCGTCTGCTCCTCTCCCTGTCTCCTGCTGCTTACCAGGCCAGACCACTGCCCCCTCTGCCCTTGGCTGACAGACATTTAAAACATGCCTTGCCTGAGAACTGTTGTCAGATCATTGCTGCTCAGGCTAAATTTCAGACATATTATTCCTGCCATTTCTCCTGCCTCCCTGCCACCCCTTTGCGTGCTTAGCCTCTCTGGCCTCACAGCCTTTATTCTCTCTGCCTGGAAACCTCCACCCACAAAATGCAATGACAAAGGTGGGGACCTTTGCTCACTCCAGGTGTGTCTTCTTCCCAGGATCCCTTGAGGTCTCTCCTACAGCCTCCCATCACAGCCCCACCACTTTGGCTCTGACTAACCTGACAGCTCCCCCATGAAGGCAGCCACCCCAGCACGGCCTGGCCCAGAATATCTGTTGATTAATGGAGTCATCAGAAGTCAATTGGAATTTGTGTGGCTCTCCCATTGCCCATCATAACCCAACCCTGGCCTCCGGGCCCCCTCCACCCCCAGGGCCGGATCTCCTTCTACATGACCAACTATGGTGAGGAGGGGACGCACGTGGGGAGTGCTGCGGCCATGGACAACACGGACCTGGTGTTTGGCCAGTACCGGGAGGCAGGTATGTCTGCTAGAGGCCTGGGTCTGTGGTCACTACCGAACAGGGCAGGCCCAGGCCCTCCTGGGGCAAAGGCGAGGCCCACACCCGTTAGCACCAGCACTCTTCCAGGCACCACCTGAGGCTAGAGAGGTCTAAGATGGAGGAAAAACTTTCCAAGTAAGAAAGAGCCAAGCCAAGGCCAGGAGCTTGGAGTGGGGGGCATCCCTCGCTGAAGGCTGGGCAGTGTGTGGTTAGGAGCCTGTGCTGCTAACCATCCCATGCCCTGCTGGTCCACATCTGTCACATTTAGGGCAAATCACTCCCTTTCTCTGAGCCTCAATTTTCTCATCTCAGTTGAGATTATGCTGGTACCTGCATGGTGGGGTTGCTGGGCGTCTTAGTGAGGTCAGCATAGCTGCGGGTGTGGCAGGCTGTGGGCCTCTGGCCTCTTCTCCTGGCCCTTCTGTAGGTGCGTGACCTTCAGGGAGCAGAAGCAGAGGGGAGGGCCTGGTGGGTCCCAGCTGGGGAGCCAGCTGACTTCTGAGTGAACAAGTGGAGCCAAGAAGGATCACAGACTAGGAATAAAGAGACTCTAGCCTTATGAAGTACTGGAGTGACCTTGGCCTGTGAGCCTGTGAGGGGGTTTCCAGAACTATTGTTGCTATGGGGGCGCTGCATGGGAGCCACCCCCAGGGTGGGTGCTGGGGGCAGATCTTTTTTTTTTTTTTTAATTTTTTTATTTTAACATTTATCAATTTTTTTTACTTTTTTTTTTTTTAAAGATTTATTTATTTATACAAGCACTGGGTATAGTCAGAAGCGCGGGAGGGTGAGAGAATTCACCAGAGCCAGAGCGGGGAGCAGAGCAGGCAGAAGGACCGAAGTACACTGCTGAGGGGAGCAGCGGGCGGCAGGAGAGGTCTGCGCGCCATGTGGGACCCTCCTCCGGTGGCTGGGGAGCAGCCGGGGATCAAACGGTGCTGCAGAGGCTGCGGGCAGCTTCGCAACCCATCACTCAACCGCTGCGCCACCGGGGAGGTCCTGGGGGCAGATCTTGACCTTTCCTTTTTGGTGTACATGATGGTGGGCAAGTTGCTTAACTGTTGCTTGACACAGTTTCTGAAGATGGTTGTCATGGGGATTCATGAGGCAGGTGATGTAAAGCCCTGAGCACGGGGTGTAAAGCTTGCCTGGGGTGAGCGGAGTCGGAGGCCATGTTGTCACAGGGCCTGTCTTCCTGGGACAGGGCCTATCTGGCAATCCCCAGCCCTCCCTGGTCTGCATGGCATTCTAGTCAGTTTGCTGTCTAGCTGTACCAGATGCCAGCCCCACATGCTCTAGGGGGACAAATACCCAGGGGTATTGTCTCTGGCTTAGCATGGTTAGCAAGGAGATGAGATTTCCTCAGGTGCTGGACTACAAGCTGAGCCCTGGCAGGTCTGCTGAGCACTTGCCACTGTGTTTGAGGGCTCGAGTATCTAGGGGAGGAGGGCCATCTGGACCCTTACCGCCTCTGCAGTACTACGGGCCAGACTCCTGCAGAGGAAGCTCGAGTTGGGTAGGGGGTGAGTCATAGCCCAGTACCCTATCCCTGATCCTGATGGGGTGCTGACTGCCCCCAACCTGTGAGGTAGGGAAAACTGGAAGTCAGGAAAGCAGCTGTCATACGCTAAGCTCTTGAGCGCCAAGGTGCTCTCTGAATGCTAGAAGCAGAGACTGTCATTGCACCTCGCTGCAGACGTGAGGTCCCACTGGAGCAAAGACAGGCCAGATTGTGCTGCCTTGGGGCCCTGCCAGACCTGTGAGGCCTCACAGCTCCTGGTCCTAAGTCCAGGTCAGAGTGGGGCAGTCACGGGGCCTTGACCACATGCCTCCTGAGGGGTGAGCAGCCCTCCCAGAGTAAGCCTGTTCTCCTTGCCTCTGGAGCTGCCCTGGGGCGGTTGGTACAAGCTAGGGGTGTATGTGGAGTGTCCACTGTGGCACCAACCGGAAGTACTCACGGAAACGGGCATTTCAGAGGCGCCAAGCCCGGCAAAGCTGTCATTCCATTGGACCTGTGATTTCCGGGAGCAAGTCAGACCCACCTGGGCCTTGGACCTCTGAATCTGTATCCCTTTCTGACCCTGCCTGCTAACTCATGTGGCCACACCAGGAGGAAGCCCCCTTCTGAGATCTGGTGCCCTCAGGCCCTCTGCAATCTGTGGCTCCCGCTTCAGCCAGAGCCCCTTGTCTTTGACCCGCTGTGTGCAGTGTGGCCATGTGTTACGTGAGTTTGTAGTATGTCCTTTGAAAGACGGGTGACAGAGTTACTAATAAAGCTTTGTTACAGGTGAATTTTGAAGTAATGTTAAAAGCCTAATGCAAAATTCCAGCACCAAGTCTCAGAGCCAGCTGTGCAAGTCATACTTCACTGTATGTTGCTGTCTCAACAGTGACACCCATTAGTTGAGAAACAGAAATGCTCCCCACTTCCCAGTTGTGGGAAGTCAGTTATGGAAACGCCCATTACCTCAGTTTCCTCATCTGTAAATGGGGAAATCATCCCTCTTTCCTCTGATGGGGCTTGAGAATCTGCAGGGTTAGTGTCTGCAAAGTGCTCTGGGTCAGCAGTGCTTGGTGCTCACGCTCACATATGCAGGGACCTGGGGGAGGCCAGCACTGAGCAGTCTGGCCTCTGGGGGCTGCTGATAGTTGGCCCTCAAGATGGGTCTGTGCTTTTTTTTTTTTTTTAAAAAAGATGGGCCTGTGTTTTTAGGGTGCTCTACAGCCCCCGCTCCAGCTTGTGCCCCATCTGAATGAGCCTCTCCTCCTCCAGTCCAGCTCCCTCACAGTACAGACAGGGAAAGGGAAGTAGGCTGGGCCTTGCCTGGGGACCCTCACGGGGTCGGTTTGCTGTCTGCTGCCTCCCCACCAGGTGTGCTGATGTACCGGGACTACCCCCTGGAGCTCTTCATGGCCCAGTGCTACGGCAACGTGAACGACATGGGCAAGGGGCGCCAAATGCCGGTCCACTATGGCTGCAAGGAGCGCCACTTCGTCACCATCTCCTCTCCCCTGGCCACGCAGATCCCTCAGGGTGAGCACGCAGGTCTCTTCTCCAGCCCTTTCGGCGGGCTTCCTGATTGGCACTGCGGTGGGAGTGCTTGTCTGGGCTGCAGACTTTCGAGGCCCCACTCCCTGGGTACCCTTGGGAGGAAGGCGCCGGGGATGTCTAGACCCCATGAGGCAGACTTGAACCTCATGCCATGCTCCAGATTCCCCATGCTTTCCCTCCCCGTTTGTCGCCTTACACACAGCTGACTGCCCGTGCCGAGGCCTGCCAGCGTCCCCCAGCTGCCTCTGTCACCTCTAGTGACTCGCAGAGTAGCCCTAGGGAGAGTGCCTGCTCTTCACCCTGTTTACGTGCAGTCTGGCCACATTTGTGTTTGTAGTATTTCTAGTTTAAAGCCAGGTTTTAGACACATCAAAGAAGGGACACCACTTGCTTGTGGACACCTAACAACAGGGACATAAATTGTGGGCCATGTGCCTCCAGAGCCTGGGGTCTCCGCCCCGACCCTGCTCTCCTCAGTCCTCGGAGCCAGTCCCCCAACCTCGCTCTAGGGTTCTGGAAGCCCATCAGGCTTAGAGCAGCCAGACTGGCCTTTATTAAAGGGGATGCAGGCCCCTGGGCACTGGTCCAGTTCCTGTACAGCACCAGACCCAGGCCAACGAGTCCGCCCCATTCAGGCCAGTCTGCATGCCAGCTCTCTGTTCTAGGGCAGCTGACACATGAGTTGACATGTGTGCAGGGCTGAGCAGAGTGCCCGGTCCCTCGGGAAGCCCCGTGCACAGTAGTTCAACTGTGTGTGGGAACTGGGAACAGTTATGCCTCTGAGGGGTCAGGTGGGAGGGCGATTTTCAGGGAGGGGGTGACATTTTCCTGAAGGGAGGTAGGATTTCCAGAAGGTGGGTCCTGGGCTCATCTTCCATGTGGCCGACCGCTAAGCCATTCGGTCCCTGCTAAGTGAACGCAAGGCACAAACCTCAGCCCTCCTGGAGCTGACCTGCTGATGAGGGAGACAGATGGTAAATAAAATGAAGGAGTCAGACGGCTGCGTCAGGGCTGACAACTCCTGAGTGAAAACCGAAGTCCGTGGGGAGTGTGTGTGTTGGGGACGGTGGGGGAAGGCAGGACCAGGAAGTGGGGGCAGCAGGAGACCTGGCTCCATTTCCATGGCAGAGTAAATGTGGGAGTGAATCAAAGATGATGCTGCCATTAGCTGACGGGAGCAGAGGGGGTGGGGCAGGTTCTGGGGTGACAGTCAGGAGGGCAGGTGTTTTCATTCCTCGCAGCACCTGTTGGCAGCCAATGTGAGTGTAGGAGCCCCGGGTTGGGTGAGCCTGCCCGTGACTGTCCCTGCTCTCCACCTCTTGCCCCTCTGCAGCTGTGGGGGCGGCCTACGCAGCCAAGAGGGCCAATGACAACAGGGCCGTCATCTGTTACTTCGGCGAGGGGGCGGCCAGTGAGGGGGATGCTCACGCCGGCTTCAATTTCGCCGCCACCCTGGAGTGCCCCATCATCTTCTTCTGCCGGAACAATGGCTATGCCATCTCCACACCCACCTCTGAGCAGTACCGCGGGGATGGCATAGGTATGGGCCCCTGGCTACCCCCACCCTGCGTGCCTGCTTGGTCACTCTCCCACCTTCTTCCCCGCCGCCCCCCGGCTCTCCCTGGGCTGCTGGGCACAGCTGGCACGAGGCTGCTCACAGATGATGAGTTCTCCCCTCCTTTCCTTCCCTCCTGGCCCTGCTTACTTCCCATCTGGGCCCTGGGTCCCACCTGCCTTCTCTCTGTCCCTGCAGCGGCTCGAGGCCCTGGCTATGGCATCATGTCGATCCGCGTGGATGGCAACGACGTGTTTGCTGTGTACAATGCCACCAAAGAGGCCCGGCGACGGGCTGTGGCCGAGAACCAGCCCTTTCTCATTGAGGCCATGACCTACAGGTGCCTGCCTTCCCTCCCATCCTTGACAGAATCTCCCCACACTGACCACTCTCCACAGAGCAAAGCCCCCTCGCCCCACCCCGTATTCCCTTCCTTGCTTTCTCCCCTCATTCCCCCTTCCTATCTGACCCCCACCCTAGGGAGCCCCATCCTGACCCTGAGCCCCTTCCTCCTCCCCTTGGGCAGGATCGGGCACCACAGCACCAGTGACGACAGCTCTGCATACCGCTCGGTGGATGAGGTCAACTACTGGGACAAGCAGGACCACCCCATCTCCCGGCTGAGGCACTACCTGCAGAGCCGTGGCTGGTGGGACGATGAACAGGAGAAGGCCTGGAGGAAGCAGTCCCGCAAGAAGGTGAAGGGGTCTACCGCAGTAGGAAACTGGTGCTCTGGGGATATGTTCTGGGATGAGGCATTATGGAGAACCTGGAAGGATGGTGAGGCTAGGATTTGGGTGACTCTGTACTGGGAAACTCAGGAAAAACCCCAGTAATATCACTAAACCTGTGGAGGCAGGCTGCGTGGCACCTGGCCTTCTGCCTCATCCTGGCTGTGTTGCCTTGGTGCCTTGGTTGTGGGTCCTGTGCTCCCTTCTCTCCCCCTGCCTGCAGTGTGACTGTCCTTCCCATGGTTGGGGCGCTGCCCTCCTCAGCCCTGGCATTGTGAGCCAGGGGCTGGGCAGTCTATTGGTAAGAGCGGACCTTGGTGCTGCCCCTGACTACATCATCGTGGGCAAGTCCTGTGTGTCTGTTTCCTCACCATTAAGCGGCCTGCTCCTTAGGGCTCTTGAGAGACTGAAATAAGCCCATACACTGAGCACAGTTCCTGGTCCTGCTCAGGATGGAGATGCTGGATCTGGGACGCTGATGTGGATGTCAGCCAGCACCACTATTAGCACGACCAGCTCTACTGTGCCCCTGGGAAACACAAAGGCTCAGAAGGGAGACCCCTCACTGTGGTGCCACAGGTGGGAAGCAGGGCCCTGGGTGGGAGGCGGCTACTGTCCCACCATCCCATGTCCCCCAGGTGATGGAGGCCTTTGAGCAGGCTGAGCGGAAGCCGAAGCCCAACCCCAGCCTGCTGTTCTCAGACGTGTACCAGGAGATGCCCGCCCAGCTCCGCAAGCAGCAGGAGTCCCTGGCCCGTCATCTTCAGACCTATGGCGAGCACTACCCCCTGGAGCACTTTGACAAGTGAGGCCCACTCACCCCACCCCATCCATGACAACCACCCGAGTCTGCAGGGAGGAGGGAGCTGATGGGACACTACCCCAGTCTCCAACCCACTCTCTCCCACATACTCAAGGGCTAGGGCTGTGCCCAAGTCTGCCATGGGACTCCTGCTCCTCCAGGCTGTTACATTTGCTGGGGGCTCTGTCAGTCCCCTCTTCACCTGTTGTCACAGTGCCTTCTCCCAGGGGCCAGGTGAGGGTGCCTCCAGGTCTGGAAGCCCCTCTAGGCAGGGGTGATGCGGTAGGTGGTCCTGGGTGCTTACTCATAGGAGAGGGGTCGGCATGTGGTCAATAAACTGTATCAGCATTTGGCTCTGTGCCAACTCTGGTCTGTTTCCTGGAGTTTCAGAGGTGGGAGGAGAGTCTGGCAGGACTGGTTTGGGACCACCCCTAGCTTCTCCACTAGGTACATATGGTCAAGGCCGTCGAGATCCCTACTCTCCCCGGAAACTTTTGCAAGCTGGAGGTCAGCTTCAGTAGGCGGGCAGGGGTGGGGTCCTCCTGATGATCTCCCATAGATTGGGGCAACTCTGTTTCCACAAGGTAACCAGAGGCTGTCAGAGCAGGCCTGGCCTTGGAGGCATGGGAGGTGTCTGGTATGCAGGTCGGCTCGGTTCTGTAAACTACTCCAGGCCCCATAGACGCAAAGACCACTTCAGGCCTCACAGTTGAGAGTGAATTTGTTTTTTTTTTTTTAATCAAAAAGTAGAGAAAAACAGTCCGCTGCCCTCTCCCGCCTAGTGCCCTGCTGGCCTGGGGGGCCAAGGAGTGGCTTCTGCGGCTGAACTTGGGGACTTCCTCACACCCAGGCCTAACAGAGGCTGAACCTAGGCAGGGGCCCCGGGCTCAGGTCAGGTCCAGCCCGTCCTCCCATCCCATGCCCTCCCCAGGGAGGCTTAGCAGTGGAGCTGCGGGTCCTGCATTTGTTTCCAGAGCCGAATGCTGTTCTGGGGGCTGAGGGGCCGCACCAGCAGCAGTTTACGGAGAGCGCAGGGGTCAGCCATGCGGTCTGGTGGCCAGCTGGTGAGGAAGCCTTTGTGGGCTCTGGGCACCAGACCCAGGGCACGGAAGCACAGGCCTGTGTAAACGTCATCAAAGGGGAAGGGTGCCACGCGGGCTGCTGCCTGCAGCAGCCAGGGTGCCAGGCGCCCAGCAATGACGTAGCCGCCCCCGCTTGCGTAGGCTGGGTAGCCACCATCGAAGAAGGACCCAGGCACATAGAAGGGCCCGCCAGGCTTTCGGAGTGGCTTGGCCTGGGTAAAGATCTCACCCAGATAGAGGCTTCGGGCCCAGCTAGGGGGCAGGGCCCGCAGGTGTTCCAGCAGAGCAGAAGTGTGCACGAAGGCGTCGTCCTGAACTTGGAGGACAAAGTGTGTGTTGGGGCAGTGACGGCCCAGCCAGGCCAGCAGCAGCAGGTCCTTGAGCGTCCGGTTGAAGGGGACGTCGATGAAGTCCCAGAGAAGCAGGTCACTATAGCGGCGGCTCTCCCAGGCCACCAGGGAGCCTAGGTCAGGGCCCCCCTCGCTCTCTGGGGACCCCAGCAGGAAGAGCAGCCGAATGCCGGGAGCAGGACCACCCCACGTCTCCCTCACAGCCTGTCTTTCTGCAAAGCGCCCTGGTTCCGACTTGACAGCCAACAGCAGGTAGGGAACGGCAGTGTCTGAGCAGCTGGCAACTTGGCCACTGTCTCCTGGAGGCAGCCACTGTGGGAAGCTTCGGCAGGCTGCTGACAGCAAGAAGCGACGGAGGTCCTCGGGGTAGGAGGTGAAGTCGGGGATCTCGGCAGCAGCTGCAGCCCCCCACGCTTGGCAGCCCCCTGCCTTAGCACTCTCGCCACTCGGCAGGACCCCCAGCCGCCACTGCTGCTGGTTCCAGGATGCCAAGGGCAGCGGTCCGGTCTGTCCCAGACGGACGGAGAGGTTAGCTGGTAGGGTGGGCTCGGGACTGGCTGGTGTGGGGCCTGGTGGGGTGCCTCGGGGTCCTGAATAGGCCTTGCTCAGTCGAGACTCGGAGGCCCACTCGATGTACACTTTGAGACCCAGGAGCGTGAGCAATGCTGACAGGCAGAGAAGGCACTTGGGGCAGCGCATGACCCAGCCCAGGGAAGGGGTAGCCGAGGGAGCTGCAAAGGAGCCACAGAAGCATTTGGGGTTGCAGGGATGGGCCCCCACAGCCCCTGCCAACCCTTGTGAAGGCTTTTCTTCATTTCACACCCTAAACTGGCCCCAACCAAGGGCCTGACTGTTCCCGCTCCCTGGAATCCTGCTCCCAATCCCATTCCAACATCCTGCTCTTTCCACTTCAGCTCAACTCCTTCAACCTTCCCAGTCCTCATCCCCACCCCAGAAGCAGAGACTCCACCCTGGTTCACACCCCTTTCATCCCCCTCACTGGGAATAAGATCATCGGTCAGCAACTTCCACTGGTTGAAACACAGCCTCCCTGAGCCCCGACAATCCCCACCCCAGGGACGGAGAAACCAGGCATCTGTTCGCTCCTCATTACCTCTGCGTCCTGCTCCCACCAGCTCCGGCACCCTGGCCTCTGGTCAGGCCCTCCCTCAGCCCTTGTCTGTGCCGTGGTTCAGTGGTTGTTCTTCAACCCAGCCCAGCCCAGCCCAGCCAGTCCAGAGGGGAGGGGAAGGAGAGGAGCTGGAGGCTGGGAGGGCCCCAGGGGCCGGGAGGGGCCTGGGCGGGGCTGAGGGAGGGAGGAGGAGGGCTGGAGGCCGACCTGAGGGATGGGGCCCTAGCGTGTTAGGGCTAGTTTTCTGGTGAGACTTCGGGTAGGGGCGGCCCAGAGACTGGGTGGGGAGAACTTGCCAGTGAGGATCCGGGGGAGGGGGAGGTTGAGGGCCAGGCATGAGCCTGGGTGGGGCGCGTCGGTCTGGGCCAGGGACAGAAGAGCGCTGAAGTGGCCAAGCCGGAGGAGAGGGGCTGGCGCCTGGCCGGGAGGAGGCTGCGGTGAATGTGCTGAGCGCGAATAGGTCAGCCCTGCTAGAGATGGGGGGTGTCCTCGCTGCCTGAGTGAGGGTGGGAATGGGGAAGGAGGCTGGTGAGGAGGAGAGACAGCCAGGGAGACGGCAGGGACAGACTGGGCGACCAGAGAGAGACAGGAGCTGGAGACACTGGCGGCAAAGAAGAGAGAACTGCATTGGGAGAGGAAGAGGGAGGAGGAGGGAGGGAGAGGATGAAGGTGGCCGGACTGAGGAGGGCAATGAGACACTGAGCTGAGAGATAATGGGTGGCCAGGAAGCCTGGGGGGTGGGCAGAGGGAGAGATTTGGCGAGGCAGGTGGAGGGCAGCGGGTGGGGGCAGAGAGGAGGGAGTCTGAACAGAGACTGAGGAAGAGGACCAGATGGAAGGGGGAGGGGCAGGCAAAGTAGGGGGGGCAAGCTGGAGGGCAGTAGGGGGTGCTGTGAATCCTGGAGCTAAGCTGACCCCATCCTCTTCGGTGCCTGGGCAGCCTGCCCAGCAGGGCGGGAACTCATCCCTCCCCTGTCCCCCTTGCCAGCACCACCCAGGCTTCAGTGACTCCAGGAACACTCACATCCGGCCCCCTGGGACTGAAGAGGGTGTCTGCCTGTGTTTACATCTCCACTCTCTTGAGGCCTCGCTGTTGGGGCTGCATTAGCTGTCTGGGGAGGCAGGCGGAGCCTCTTCATCCCAGACCTCCTGGAGCCTGGACTAAGGGCCCCTGTGAAGCTGACCCCTTTCACCCCACCCGGGCTGGCGAGGGACTGTTGGATCATCTGAGGGGCCCTATCAGCAGCAGTTGGTTGTCAGACCAGGGCTGATTTCCTTCCTCCGAGTTTGAATAATGGAGCCCGTGGGACCAGCTGGAGGAGGTGGGGATACTGATGGAATAAAGGAGAGTTAGGAATGGCAGCCGGGGGCTGGGGCGGGGCCCTGAGCTCTCCTGGCACAAGCGCCTTTCCCAGGGGCACTGAGGTTGTCAACCTGGGGCTGCACTGCCCCTCTTGGGGGGTCTTTGGAAATCTTGGAGGATAGTTTTCGTTGCTAAGTGCATAAGTGCGGGTCCAGTCAGGAGAGAAACCACACAGCAATCAGAACAGGGACAGTTGCTGTCGAAGGAGAACCAGAAGGTGGGACTAGGAGAATGAGTGCTCCCTTGCTGGGGAAGAGTTGGGGGTAGATGTGCAGGCGGAACTTCATCAACCCAGTCGAGCCTTTGGGCCCCTCTTCCAGAGCCGCCATGGCAGTTCTCACCTCATTAACTGTAGGCCCTGTTGAGTCCAAATTCCTGTCAGTCCACCAAGAAAAGTATTAGGCTCTAGCAACACCCCAGAATGCATTCCTGCAGGGGTTCCCCAGGTTTCTGACTCTACATCTATTTGCAGGCCCTTCAGTTCTTTCTGAGGATAAGCTATTCCCTCCTGCGTCATAGTGAGCATGCTGAGATTTGACCCTTGGTATTTATGGGTCTGGAGACAGCAGCGGCACTTGTGATGTTTTAAGAGGGGATACCCTCCTTTCAAGGCACTTCCCTCAGGTGAGCTCATGATTGGGTTTTCAAGCATAGGAAGGCTGGTGGCTCCAGACATGGGGGAACAACCTGGAGCTTCCAGATGGTGTTTTGGTCCAACCACACGACCCTGCTCCAATCTGGGGTCCCACTGTTTGTCAGTCACCTCCCTCTTTCATGTGAGAGGATTGTGAAAACTGGGAATCCCACTTGCAAACTTAAGTGTTGTATTCTCAGCAGCATCAGCTTTGTGCCTACATGAATGCCTTTGGGGGGGCTGTCGTGGGACGTCTCTAGAGCTGACTGAATAGACCCAAGTTTGTTGTCTAGTCATCAAGGGCCCCCTAATGAAGTTGGCACCTATCCTTAGACTTGCCACTGCCATGTCAGTCGAGCACAGCGGCCACAGGGGCTCTGGGGTTTGTGCTACAGCTGGCAGTGCACCATAGCCAGCCCCAAGAGGCAGCTTGGTTATGACGCCACCGCACGCCCTGGCTTTCTGGCACCTAGTTTCCCATCACCAAGGAGCTCCACACCTCCTACAAAACCAAACCACCCCCAAATACCATCTCTGATTCGGTCTCCTGGAACACTCGATGCCAGTGTGTCAGTCTGGATTGAGTCAGGAAAGAAAAACCATACAGCATTTTGAACAGGAAAAGTTTATAAGGAATTACTGACTTTAACAGCAAGTCAAAGTAAGGGATTCATTGATAAGGGGCCTCAGAACTTACAGAATTCTACCTTCTGGGGTATGGTGGGGAGTCCTTCACAGGGAGGTGCCTTGGGGGGCACTGCTCTGTGAAACTGCCTGACGGTGTGCCAGAGGAAGCTGCTGACCAGTATGCCAGATACCTCAGGACCCCAGGCTGGGGGAGCCCCATTGGTAGCAAGCCTGGAAGTCAAAGCCTCTCCTCTGTCATGTCTCTTGAGCGCCCTCTACTGACAAAGCACATCATGCCAGTTGGCAAAGAAAATACTGATACTTCAAATGCTTCCAAGGCCCAGATCAGTTCTCACCGAGCAGACAAAGAAGCTGAGTTCGGAGCTGAGAGTCAGTAGCTGATAAGCAGGCACCCTGCTTGGGTGAGCGCGGGCCAGAGTTGCTGTCCCTGCAGGTTGCTGAGCAGACGCACACAGGGAGGAGCCTCCCCTGCAGAATGCCAGCAGCACCCACTGTGTGGGCCAGGGTCCTGGCAGGAAATGGGAGCTCACACAGTGAGGATGACTTGTGAAGATTTTTTTGACTTTTGCTTCTTAAAGAGTTTCGTGACATAAAAGTGGGCGAGGTGGGGAAACCACAAGGGAGAGGGCAGCTGTGAGGGGCTACTCACCACCCCCAGCCTGAAGAGGAGGTGACTGAAACTGGGAAGGAGAGAAGTGCGTAGAGGGGGCTGCCTGACAGGATGACTTTGGGCCCAGGATGCAGCTGGCCAGGGCCGCCCTGAAGTGGGGAGGAAGCACCTGACCTTGTGCTCTCTTTCCCTCTGAGCTGCTAGTGCCACTCCCTCACCAGCCCAGCCCCATGGGGAGCCAGAAGCATGGAGAACTGTCACTCAACTCGGCCCCCAGAGCTCCAGCTGGAGGCGGCTGAGGCTAGGCTGGGAGGGGCCTGGCTGTGTCCTGAGACTGCTCCTCAGGCCCCAACTTCAGGCCCTGGGCCCAGTCAGCCCCCAGAACCACACAGTTGGGCAGCATTTCCTCCACCAAGATCTGCGTTAGGCCCGGGTTGGACACGGCTGGGAGGTCTGAGATGTCCAGCCTGCGGAGGTTCCTGAGGAGGCAGAAGGGAGGGACCATGTGAGAAAGGCATCCATGTGTGCTCACGGCTCCCTGCCCCCAACCCCTAGCTTCCTAAAATAAAAATCTCCCTAAGTGCCCAGAACAAGTGAGCTCCCCGCAGCATACATAGACTCTACAGTGTTAACTGCAAGCTGACACCTCGGGCTCCTGGGACTCTGCAACAGGGCAGATATCATGGCATTTTCACAGAAATGAAACAGAAGACAATCCAGGCACCATTTCATTCTCCTAGAGACCCGGCCACTGCCACTGCTCACATGTGCTTCCCTACCTCTAACTCTGTAGGTTGGTCAGAACTGGGCAACATGAGGGCCCACAGCGCATCCGCCCACCCTCTCTCCCATCCTGACCCGTGGGAGGTGCCCTGGCTCGGGGTCCAGCCTGAGATGAGGTCTCACTGGAGGTGATGGAGGCAGGCCAGGCCCCGCTCTGAGATTTGGGGGCAACCGGCCAAGGAAAGCTCCTGCAAGGACTCTGCCAGCGGGTAGAGGCGGCTGAGACACCAATCGTCCACATGGGGGCAGCGCTGCAGTGACAGGGACTGGAGCTCCTTCAGGGCCACTGCAGGAGGAGAGGGCAATGGCAGGGAGGGCGCCTTGGGAACCCACCACGAAAGGGAACATTAAGGGAACATTAAGTCTCCAACCCACCCCACCGACCCACTCACAGAGGTTGTCCAGGCCTTCATAGTTGATGGTACAGCCGCTGGCATCGATAGCCTCTACTGGCACCTCCTGGAACTTGAAGAAGTCAAGAGAGAAGCGACGCTGCCCATGGGGCCCCATCCACTCCTTGCCCTGAAACCTGGAAAGGGGAGGAGAGCAGGTGCATCAGCAGGGTGAGGGTGCCCGCCATTCACACATGGGGTCTGGCACACCTCTCAGGCCCTGTACTAAGGGCTTTACGTGTCTGGCCTCACTGGATCCTATGGCAGTCCCATCACAGATGAAATGTTCTGCCATCTTTAATACCTGGAATCTGAGAGTTGGAGCCAAGAGAGAAGAGCTGTAATGAAAGAATCCTCACAGATGAGCAAAAGTTGAGACATTTTCAGACACCATTTCTAAGGAAGGTGCTGGTTTGAAGTGCTCAAACCAAGTGAAAAAAATATATTTTTAAGTATTTATGCATACAAGAACTGGGGCACAGGCCAGAGGTGCGGGGGGTGAGAGGATTCACCAGAGACAGAGTGGGGAGCAGAACAGGTGGACTGACTAAAATACACTGCTGAGGGGAGCAGCGGAGGAGACCGAAAGGTATGCTGTGCCATGTGGGTCAGCTCCCTGGCCGGAGATTGAACTCAGGACATAGTGGCTGGTGACAGTTTGATCATGCTGAGACTTAAACCCCTGCACCAGCAGGAAGGTCCTCCAACTAAAAAATTTAATAGGAACAAAGACAAGAGATAGAGGAAGTGTACAGAATTGCATTTAAAAAAGGGAAGGAGAAAGTAAGGGGGAAGGAGGAAAGAAATATACCTATGAGCTCAGGCACTGTGCTTGGTGGAGCTGTAAATGTTTAGACTGTGAAATCCCTTAGAATCTTTAGGGCAAATTGTGCAGGTTAGATGTGAACCTACCCCTCTTCACAGAACCCCTCTTGACAAAACTGAAGATCAGTAACATGCCCCAAGTTGCATAGTAAGATGTGGACAGAGGATCCCTGGAGTGGCTATCTGCCTGGAGAGCCCCAGGCCTCCCCCCACCCATTCTGACACCTTTGCTGTCATACTTGACTGCGCCTCCCTGCTTCAGGATGAAATAGGCACCCGCGATGTCTGGGCCATAGCGCTCCTTTATGTGGGTGAAGGCTCTGTGGAGAAACAATAGCTGAGAGTGAGTGAGGCCCTGAGGTCAGGGAACACCAACCCTCACCCTGCCTGGCTGCTAACGACAGGGTCACAGTTCAAAGACTGACAGACATTGAGAGAGAGGGACTGAGTCAGGCAATAAATATTTACTGAGTGTCTATTAAGTAGGCACAGGGCAGCTAGGGCAGCTGGGGCATCCGTGACCAAAGCAGTCCCTGCCCTTGTGAAACTGTTTTACAGGGGGAACAGATAACAAAACAGGAAACAATGGCAAATTGCTGAGTATCAATTTCTGATGAAAATAACTGGGAGGGACTGTTGGTAGGAATGGCTTGGGTCATGGGTGTGGCTGGAGGATGCTAATTTCGTGTGGGTATTAAAAAATGCTTTTTGGAGGAGCTGCTACTTAAGCAGAAATCTGAGTGATGGAAGAAATGTGAAGGTCAAAGCAAGAGCCTGCCAGGCCAAGGGAACAGCTGGTGGGAGGGCTTGGCAGCTCAAATGAGGACGGTTGAAGAATTAGCAGTGAGACCACCATGTTGGTGTGCCCTTGGGAGGGGTCTCAAAGCTCAACAGGGGGCATGCCTTAGGCCTTGGAATTTGACTTATTGTAATCAGAAACCATTTGAGGGTTTTAACCCAAGTGGTAATGTTATCTTACTGTCTAGAGTCCCAGGCTGCTTGGTATAAAAGTCTCTAGGGGGCAACGGGTGACATTAGGAAATTACTGCAGTCATCTAATCGTAAAATAAAGGGGCTCACACCAGTCGAGGAGCTGAGATAGCCTGGAGGTGGAGGGCAGAGAAGCAAAGAGAGGAATAAGGAATGGGTCCTTTGAACTTAGCTTGAACAACAGGATGGGTACTGGTAGTATTCTGGGATGGGGAAGGTTTGGGAGTGAGATTTTTCTCAGGGGAAAATCAAGGGTTTGCTGTTAGTCATGTAAGGCTTAAGGTGCCAGCTAGTCATGAGGAGAGATTGGGCAGAGGTTGCCTGTATGAGGTAGACCCCTTGGGAAGGGTGTGGGCTGCAGATGAAGAGGCAAGAGTCTGCAAGGCAGTTCTGGAGCACAGGGCTGCCTGGGAGGAGCAAGGGCAGGGTCTGGGTTGTAACTGATGAGGCCCAAGCAGCAGGGTCTGGCACACTTGGGGTTCTTTTTTATTTTTATTTTTTTATTTTTTTGTGGAACCCTGGCCGGTGGCCGGGGATAGAACTGGCGCTGCAGAGGCTGCGGGCAGCCTCGCAACCCAGCGCGCAACCGCTGCGCCACCAGGGGAGGCCCCACACTTGGGGTTTTTACCGATTTTTCTGGTGCACATTTGACAACCGCATTTGGAGCAGGTACTCCCTCAGAGCCTTCACGTCATAGAAGCGGTCTGTCAGGAACTGGAGCAGCATTCTCCCCTTCTTCCGACTGCCCTCCGGGGTCACTGTGCTGCTCAGGCCACGAATGCCCTTGGTACCCTGATTCCAGACTGGGGCCACCAGGTGCAGGGACTGGGGAGAAGAATAGTGGGATTGAGCTTGGAGCCTCCAGTGAGAGATGGAGCAGGATCTCCCTGTTCATGCTCCACATCACACCCCTACTCAGTGCTTCTGAGCTCACTAAATTATCTGTTCTGAAATTCCAAACTCTGCCTTTAGGATTCCCAAAATTTCCCCAGATTTTTCAGAATTCCTTCCTCTTAACCCTAAATTTCTTTCATTTAGCCAAACATTCTTTCTTGGTTTTCGCAAATTTTCTAATTTTCTTTTTCTCCCAACCTCTTACTTTAATCTTACGTAAACTCATTCCTTGATTTTACCCATTTCTTCCTAAAATATCCTCATAAATATGGCAAATTGTCCCCTTAATTCTTAACCCAACCCCCCCCCCCCCCCGTCCTTCCCTTGGACTCCCCAATTCACGTCTTGGCTCCTGTCTTCCCGTTCCCTATCATCTCTTTGGTTTTCAGTCAAAACTCCTAACACTGCGCTCAGTTTCCCTACCACTGGACATCAAATTCCAGTTCCAGTGCCCATCACCTCCACGCCCTCCTGCCCACTCTCTCCTGCCCATCAATTCCAAGCAATAGGGTCCTTCCCTCTGATTGGCCAGGTGCTCCACCTACGGCACACACTCCCTGCTTCCCCATTGGTTTCTCCGCAAGGCCCCGCCCCCACGCTAACGGCGAAGCTCCTCAGCCTCAGGCGACCCGTCGATCCCTCCCGGCCCCCCACAGCTACACGCCCACTCTGCCAGCAGGCGGTCTCACGGGGGAGGCCGCCTGTTCCCTCACGCTCCTTGCTTCCCGGGCGCTGACAGAGGCCCTGAAGGCAGACGCAGCAGAGCGAACTTCGACTTGGGGACTTTAGGAGCGCCAGTCACCTACCGCCCTGGGCGCCGCCATCTTGCTAGGATTACGTACCCGGAAAGGGCCGGCCTGTAAAGAGGCCCCACCCACAAGGTATTCCTCTCGGCCTCCTTCCTTAACTACGCGTTTCTCCAGTTTTCCAAAGGCGCGCGCAATTTTTATGCCTTTCGTGTTTGGGCGCTGCTCTTAGCGCCCATTCCTTTTTTTTTTTTGGTGGGACCCTCGCCGTTCGGCCGGGGAACGAACCGGCGCTGCAGAGGCTGCCGGCAGCCTCCCAGCCCAGCGCTCAACCGCTGCGCCACCAGGGGAGGCCCTCCTCCTCCTTTTTTTTTTAAGATTTATTTTATATTTTTAATGCATAAAAGAGGTAGGGGGCGAGGAGAGGGGCGAGAGGATTCACCAGAGACAGAGTGGGGAGCAGAACAGGTGGATTGACCGAAATACACTGCTGAGGGGAGCAGCGGCCGAGACAGGAGAGGTCTGCTGCGCCATGTGGGTAGCTCCCTGGCCGGGTATCAAATTCGTGCTGCTGTGGCTGTTTATAGTTTCATAGTGCTGTGCTTAACTCCTTGCGCCGCCAGGGATGCCCCTTAGCTCCCAATCCTTTAACCTTAGAAGGGGCCTCTGCAGTCTTTTTCTCGTAGAGGATGGGCCTCCCTTCTTCTTACCCTCCGTCTGCAGTTACAGTACCCCTGAGCATCCCCCGTTCCTCCAGCTCTCTCTCACTGCCTCCTTAAAACGGCATCATGTGGTTCTTCAAACCAGGGTCTGGAAAGGGAAAAAAAAATTGAGTGGGTGTGGAGATTAGACTTCAAGGTAAGAGCCCGAGGTGAGATCTGAAGACTAGCATTGAGATGTTTGCGATCTCAGTTTAGAGTTCAAGACTAGAAATCAGCGTGAATATTCAACTGAAACCTTGTGAATAGAATTATTCATTCTATAAATATTTACTCAGTACCACCATGTGGTACACGCTGCCCTCTGTGTTGAGGTTACCATGGTGACCAGGACAGAGCAGCCTTTATCAAGGAGTCAACATCCTAGGCAGGGTGAGGATGGATATGAAACAGATGAATAAGCAACATCATTTCAGACAAGGTTTGATAAGAGTCAAATAAAAACAGGCAATATAATAGGGAGTGACTTGGATATAAACATCAAAAAGACATCTCTGAAGAGATGACGTCTTCGTGGTAGTGAAGGTTAAGAAGGAAACAACCATTCAGAGATTGGGGGTGGTGGATGTTCTAGGAGAAGTAAGAGCCAGTGCAAAGGCCTAGAACTGGGAACTGGCTTACAGAGAGGAGAATGGCTCAGAGAGGTGGGCAGGCAGCTGATTGTGTAGGACTGGTAGGATTTTATTCCATTTGCTAGGGAATGTCCTGATCTGATTTACAATTTGTAAAGATTATTTCTGCCAGTTGGACAGCAGACCTTAGTGGGCAAGGGTGGAAGCAGGGGACTCTCCTCAGGGCCTTGGAGCAATAGTCCTGCCTGCTTTTACTGCCTCCACAGCTCCATAGTCTCAGGGCAGTGTCTGTCAGGAGGAAGGTGCAAGGTCCTGAGTGACCTAGGCCTCTAGGAAACTGGGGGTGGGAGGACTCACAGGCAATGAAGGGAGTCCCCCTAGCAAAGAGGCTACTGCAATAATCCAGGCAAAAGATGAATGGGAGGGGGGTGGGCAGTGGAAATGGTGAGAAGTGCTCAGATTATGAGTGTTTTGACAATTGAGCCAACACCTGGAGAAATGGAAAGGATAGTGATGCTGCTTGTGGAGATGGGGAACCTGAGAAAGCAGTAGGTTCAGAGGGGCAGCTGTGGTAGGCTGAAGATAGTCATTCCCTTAACGATGTTTCCACTAGCCACAGACTGCACGTACGACACCCTGGGCCTGGAAGAGTGGCAGAGAGAGGCCCACAGTGCATCCAACTGTTTCCCTCCCTGGCAGGGCCCATGCTGATGGTGGTAATAGCTGTGGGCAAGTTGAGGGTCCATAGAACTGGCTGCTCAGTTGTGGGCCTGGACCCTGAGGCATCCTGACTGAGGGATCGTCCCTGGGAAACCACTCCTGGCTCCTTAGGTATGCTGGTTGGGAAGCCATGGGATAGCCAGAGTAGAAAAGACAGGGATGGACCAAGCCAGCGGCCAAGTGGAGAAGAAGGAAACACAGGAGTCTCAGGAGGACTGGTAGTAGGGACATGAGAGCGGGCAGGAAGAGGTGAAGCTGTGAGCACCTCAAGGCGACCAGTCTGAGAAGAGGCAGGGAGGAGTGGAGTGGCTGTGGGTAGACCCTTGTGAGCAGAATTGAGGTTAGACTTCAGGAGGAAACACACACGCACACCCCCCCCCGCCCCCAGACTGCTTATTCTCACTGAAGAGTGGACTTTGGGATGCCATCCTCCTGCCCCCTCCCTTCATTGCCCTTTACTCCTCCAGTTCCCCAGAGGCCTGGGTCACTCTGGACCTTGCACCTTCCTTCTCCTGACAGCCACTGCCCTGAGACTATGGAGCTGTGGAGGCAGCTGAAGCAGGCAGGACTATTGCCCCAGGGCCTGGGTCCACCCCCTACGGCCCTGATGGGAGTCCCCCCAGCGGGGAGAGATGACCAGACTGTCATGTCCCCAGGGCCAGACAATGGCGGTGCCAGGGAGAGTCTGCTGTGGATCTGGGAGGAGCTGGTGAGTAAGTGGTTTAGAGGGTTAAGAGATGAGATGGATGCAGGTGTGGGTGTAGGAGGGGTAGGCGGTGGTGGGGAGAGACAGAGAAAGGATGAATGAATGGAAACGAATGGATTGGAAATAGAAAGACCAGAGATTGCAAGGGCGGAAATTATGAGACAGATTAGAGAAATAGAGACAGGGACATAGAATGACGTAAGACAGGGACAGACAAGTGAAAACAGACACAGAGATAGACAGCAAGAGAGAGACAAAGTGACTAAGACTCAGACACACACACCTATAACACAGAGGTTCAGACAGTGAGGGCCACTGAAATGGAGAGAGAGAGATGGGGGCAGAAGTGCAGAGACAGTTAGGGTCCGTGGCCAATTATTTATAAGATATGTTGAAGGTGAGCCCTGTGATGGGTGTAGGGAGTGTAGGGGGCCCTGTGATGGGGCCTTGCAGCTGGGGAGAGTTTGGGGTCTGCTCCTCACACAGGAGCGGGTGGGAACTCACAGCCAAAGGGCAGAGTTGGAGGTGGTTAGTGGATGGAAAGTTACTAAGAGGAAACATCAGGAGTTAGAGGGGACTCCTGGTAAGCTGACCCAGCTGGATTCATGCTGGTGACAGGTGGGGGTGACCAGACACCACCGGGTGGATGGTGGAAGGTGAGGAACCCCACTAGATGGTGTTAAATAACAAAAAACTGAGTTGATTTTGAGGATCTAATTGACTTTATTAAATGATTAATGAATCAGACAGAATTCCTCTGGTAAGTAGAAAAGTGTTGCAAAAAGCAATACAAAAGAAAGGTTATCCTGAGCAGAAGAAAGGCAAGGTGAGGGAAGAGGCTCGGTAACTCACTCATGGGGCGGAGAAGAAGGACTTATTATTGATTATTTCATTTCTCTTTGGGAATGGAAAGGATGGTATTTCTGGTGTTGCCCAGAAAGTTCCATCCTCCTATTAAGTCTGCATTCCCCAGGAAGGTTGGAACTGTTAGGGGTCTTGAGACCAGTTCGGTTAGGTACTGAGTCTTGGTACTCCGTTCTGAGCCTGTCATTTCCTGAACAATTCCAAGAGTGATCAGATAGGAGTACCGGGGATTCTTGCAAAAACTGGATGTTACCAGGAAGGGCACAGATGGGCCCAGGAGAAGGTGCAGGAGACTGATAAAAATTTGATCAAGCAGAGAATCCTTGTCAGGACTCGAGCCAGGACCCTACTCCCACCCAGCTGGTGAGGGGCATGCTGACCACTTGCGCTCTGGGGTGGGATGCCCACGACTTCCCCTTCCCACCGGCAGGGGAACCTCCGCCGAGTGGATGTCCAGCTCCTGGGCCAGCTGTGCAGCCTGGGACTGGAGATGGGGGTGCTGCGGGATGAACTGTTGGACTTCCTGGAAGAGGAGGACGAATACGAGGAGAGCATGGTGGAAGAGAAGGATGAAGACCTGGAGGAGGAGGAAGGACCCTTGGGGGCTTGTTGCCCAGGGCCCGGCTACCGGCTCCCTGACTTTGAGATGACCATCTAGTCCCGGCCTGACGGACACATGAATGAGGTGCAAATTAATGCAATGAGGAGCGATTCTCCCATCAAATCAACTTGCAGATGTTGATTTAGAATCAGCTCGTGTTCCTACAGCAAGTGCTTTCTCTGACGTTGTCTGCGGTGCGATCAAGGGGTTGGCCTGTGAGCTGGGCCTGTTTGCAGAGGATGGGGGAGGTTTGCAGAGAAACTGGAAGTGCATTTGCAGATGAGCTGTGGGTCTTTGCCAATTTGGTGGGGTTGCTTGCAGAGGAGCTTTTAGATCAAGGCCATCCAGTGGGGTAGACACTGGCCCTGCATAGCTGCGGAGCCCTTGAAATGTGGCTAATATCCGAATTGAGTGTTGCACACTCTGAGCTTTCAAGGCTTCAGGGGATGGACATAGAAAACATTTCAATCATCTTGAAAAGTAATTGCCTGTTGAGAAGTGACTGCAAATACAAATAAATAAAAATATGGTAAAATTAATTTTATCTGTTTAACATTTGTGGTGGTAAAATAACATAAAATGAGCCATTTGACCATTTTTAAGTGTGTCCTTGGGTCGTGTAAAGGATATTCACACCGTGGAGCATCCATAAGCATCATCCAGCTCCAAAACTCTTGTCACTCCACCCTCCCCTCCCCCCAGCCCTTGGCAAGCAGCACTGTACTCTCTGTTTCTGTGGATTTCATCACTTTAGGATCTTCAAATAAGTGGGATCATAGAGTATTTGACCTGTTGAGTCTGGCTTATTTCATTTAGCATCCTGCCTTCAAGCTTCATCGGTGCTGTAGGCTTTTTCATGGCTGAGTGATATTCCATTATGTGTCGCTACTGTGTTTTGTTTTCCCATCCATCACAAATGCTTGGGCTGTCTCTGCCTTTTGGCTGTTGTGAATAACATGCTCTGAACGTGGGTATAGGATCGCCTCTCCCAAACTGCAGACAGGCTTTTCTCAAGATGTCTAGACCAGTTTTTCTTCTCCAACCTATGTCACCTTGGTATCTGGAAGTAATAAGGTCAGTGGAGGCCTGGTGGGTATCAGGAGAAACTGACGCCATAACCTTAAAGCACGCAGATATCCCAGATTTAGTGTCATCTCCAGAAATAACCTCTTTTTATTGGAAAAAGTGTCTGTTTTTTTTTTTAAGATTTATTTATTTATGCATACAAGAACTGGGGTACAGGCCAGAGGTGCAGGGGGTGAGAGGATTCACCAGGGACAGAGTGGGGTACAGAAGAGGCAGACTGACTGAAATACACTGATGAGGGGAGCAGCAGGCTGGACAGGAGAGGTGTGCTGAGCCATGTGGGTAGCTCCCTGGGCAGGGATCGAACTCATGCTGCGGTGGCTGCAGATAGTTTCATAGGTTGCGTCTTAACCCCTTGTGCCACCAGGGAGGCCCGAGAAACATATCTTAGGACAGGGCAAACAGGCAGGGTTCTGTCATATGAAGTCATCCCCTCCTTGTCATATGAGACCCCAACTTTCTCCGTGACAACCCCCAGCTCCTATTCCATTCCTTAACCCAGGACATAAACCCTGATTTTTTCCTTTTACTTTAGAGTTTACAGCCATGTAGATTCTCCGTGCATTTGTAATTAAATTGGTCTTTTCTCCTACTCATCTGTCTGATGTTAATTTGTTTGCTTGTCCAGCCCGAGAAGAGCCCTGAGGGTGGGGAAATGTTCACCTGTGCCTTGACATGCGGGTACAAGCATCTGCTCAAGTCCCTCTTGGCACACGCCCAGGGGACACCCAGCGACCCCCCAGATGAATGGCTCTAAAGGAATTCTGCCTTTCGCCTCATGAAAACAAAGGAAGACCCTTAGTGTGATAGAGCTTTAACAGAATTAGTATCCCCTCATGGGCAAATGCCCAGCCAAACGGTTGGCTCGAAGCAGGGCTTCTGAGGCTCAAAAGCTTGCCACAAATCTAAGGCACCTCTGGAGAAGAAACACGTGAAAGGAGTCTGGGACAGAGAAAGCAAAATCAAAGTACAAATCAAGATGAGGGCCGCCATTGTCAGCTTCACACATCTCTCCTCAAGTGTCCCTTCACGGCTTCCCTCCATGTCCCCTTACAATACCAGGGTGCAAGATGGCGCCAGGAGCAAGAGCGCCCCTTTTAAGCCTCCTGCCTTGGGTGCTACATAGCTTCACCAGGGCCTCAGCTCTGCCCTTCCTTCCCTGGAGCTAATCCAAGGTGGGGGCAGGGAACATGATACCTCCCCTAGGGTCACTTCCTGGGGCATATACCCAGAGATAGAGTTTCTGGAATGGTATGGTGATTCTGTTTTTACTTTTTTGGCCAGCTGCCGCAGAGGATGTGCGTTTGACAGCCCCACCAACAGTACAACAAGCTGATTCCTCCGCCTCCTTGCCAGTAGTTTTTGCTTTTTGTTTCCTTGTTGTGGTTTTCCCTTCTGTCCTAATGGGGGGCGGGAAGGGTGAGGGGATAGCTCACTCTGGTATGGATTTGTATTGAGGAATGATACTGAGCATCTTCTGTTTATTCATATGTGTCTTGTCATTTCATCTATCTTTAATATGACTGCTAGAAAATTTTATATGTAGCTCCCGCTGTGTTTCTGGTGCACGCACAATTTCTGACCTTTGTAGATGGAATATGGGCGTGAGCTGATGAGAATGAGCCGGGAGGGTTTGTGGACAGACATTCCACACGTTGCCAGCGTGTCTCCCGCATACCTGCAGGAGACACAGGTATGTGCCTGCCACGCCCAGGATAAGTGACTGCAAAGGTAACGCAGCCCAGTGCCACACCTGCAGAAAAGATGCCCCATGAGGGGCCTCCCTGGTGACTCAAGAGATTAAGACACAATACTGTGAAGCTGTCCGCAGCCACTGCAGCATGAGTTCGATCCCCGGCCAGGGAGCTGACCCACATGGCACAGCAGACCTCTCCTGTCTCGCCTGCTACTCCCCTCAGCAGTGTATTTCAGTAGATCTGCCTGTTTTGCTTCCCACTCTGTCCCTGGTGAATCTTCTCACCCTACCCCCCACACCTCTGGCCCCATTTCTTGTATGCATAAATAAATAAATCTTTAAAAAAAAAGAAAGAAAAGAAAAGATGCCCCTTGAGCAAGTGGAGGGCTCCAGTGCAGTGCAGACATCTCCTCTGGGGACACAGTCGCCATACCTGTGGGTAAAACCATCGCCCCCTGTGAGTTCGAACACATATATTTGCAGTTCTTCATCACAGCTTTCTTTTTTTTTTTTTAATTATGCATACAAGAAACTGGGGTACAGGCCAGACATGTGGGGGTGAGAGGATCCACCAGAGATAGAGTGGGGACCAGAACAGGCAGACTGACTGAAATACACTGCTGAGGGGAGCAGCGGGCGAGACAGGAGAGGTCTGCTCGCCATGTGGGTCGCTCCCTGGCTGGGAATTGAACTTGTGCAGCAGTGGCTGGGATAGCGTCATAGTGCTGCGTCTTAACTCCTTGCACCACCAGGGAAGCCCCATCACAGCTCTCTCATGTGGAGCGAGGATGTTCCCAGAGAAGTGAGGTGCTGGATGTCTGCCTGTGGGATTTCCTCCTTATAAACATCCTGTTGATTTTTGTCTGGTGGAGCCCCCCAAGACTGGGGGCTTGGGGGCTCAGGCTTCATCTTCAGCCTGGTCTTCCTTTTCCAAACTGAGTCAGGTCTGCCGCTGTTGGAGTTCTACCTGAGGGGGGTTAGGGAGGATGTTGAAAGTCAGACCCCAGCCCCCAGGAAGGGAGATACCCCAAGAGCAGACAAATGAGCATAGCTCCTTTCATAACATTGCATGTTGAATTTTCTTTAAAAGATTTATTTTATTTAATTATGCATACAAGAGCTGGGGTTAGGCCAGAGGTACGGGGGGTGAGAGGATTCACCAGAGACAGAGTGGGGAACAGAACAGGCAGACTGACGAAGTACACTGCTGAGGGGAACAGCGGGTGAGACAGGAGAGGTCTGCTCTGCCATGTGGGTAGCTCCCTGGCCGGGGATCGAACTCGTGCTGCAGTGGCTGCTGATAGCTTCATAGTGCTGAGACTTAACCCCTTGTGTCACCAGGGAGGCCCATAACATTGCAATTTGAGCACCATTTCCCCTCCCCTCCCCTCCCCTCCCCTCCCCTCCCCTTTCCTCCCCTCCCCTTGTGTGAAAGTCCAGTCTCACCCACAGGGAGAGGCCACAGGGGAGGGTCCCGGGCTGCAGCTGCAGCCAGCCTGCCACAGAGAGCGTCTTCAGAGCCCAGGCTCTGGCTCCTCCTGGGACAGTGATGAGTGGCACCTGCAGAGCACAGGTTCCTGAGCAAATAGGTGTCATCACTGACTTAAAACAAACTGAGTCTGAGTGTTTATGATGTGACAGTGGACAGCCTCGCTATGGAAAGGGGGCTTCACGGGCCAGGATGGTCAGCATCACCTGATCCTCCTAGTCTCTGTCCCTCCTCATTTGCTGGGTCAGGAGCTGCATTTTTCCGGTATCTGCAGCCCCTCCCTGTGCACAGGCTGGGGGGAGAAGCGCCCACCCCAATCATGGGGTTACTGTTCCCTGGGCAACTGCTAAAGCAGCATTTCTAAGGTGTCACCTTGGCATTTGAGGTATTGTAGAGTTCCACAGTGCTGGGGACTGCCGCTACCTCTGGTCTGTGCACCCTAGTCCTTCCCAAGAGAAGGAGGAGGAGGGGATGGGAGGAAGAATGGAGGAGGAGGGGAGGGGAGAGGGAGGAGGAGGAGTCATTGTGCTTATAAGGAGGGGACATCCCTGTGACCAGGTGTGGCCCCCGGACTCCTGCTCTGAAGGGAACAGTCGGAGGGGAGAGGGGTGTGGGGGAGGATGTTGTGCTCCCCAACCTATATCTGTGGGGGAACCCTGGACACAGACACCCCAGAGTTGTCCAAACAGGGGTGCGTGTTTTGCAGGCATTTCTATGTGTGTTGGTCATAAAGTTGCAGGTGAGGATGGCAGAGACAGTAGCAGTTCCCTGGGAACCAAATGTGGGAGAGAGGAAATAGGGAGGAAGGGACAGGAGAGGCTGGACTGAGAGAGGGGAAAGGGAGGATCTAGGTACAAGAACAGGCCCTCGGTCATGTGACCCTGCCTAGAGCTCCTGGCCCAGGTCTGCACAGGAGGAGGCCCCTCAGGGCTGACACTCAGGAGCAGCCGTCCTTGGGAGCCTCTCTGAAGCCCCAGCTCTTCTCTCAGAGGGAGCACAGAGCAGGCAGTAGACACCATGGAGGCCCCCTCAGCCCATGGACGCAGAGGCCGAGGCCCCTGGCAGGGGCTCCTGCTGGCAGGTGAGAGGGGCTGTTCCCGAGGGTGGGAGGAGGGAGACCAGAGACTGGCTGGGTCCCCCCAGAGTACAGGGTCTGAGAGGGGACAGAAGCTTCTGGTAGGACCAGAATGAGAGATGTGAATGGAGGGGCTGGAACTGAGCAACCGGGAATTCTCATGGTCAGAATGTGGTGAGACACCAACTGTTTTCTAAATTATTTATCACTGAAAAGTGATTGTTGAGAACTGGTGTCCTTAATAGCAAGAGGTCACGTCATAAAAAAAAAATTCAGAGAGAGCACTAAACTCTCTAGTCACTGCCATTGGAACTTGGCAAATAAACATCAGGACATGGAGGCCGTGGGGACTGTCACTCATCCACAGGGTTTGGCAGCTTGACCCACTACTGGGGGCGGAAAAAGATCAGGCAAGTCCCTGAAGGCGTGGAGCTCACATTCTTGGGGAGGAAGATCTGAAGTAAACAAAGATCTAGAATGTGCTGTCAGGTGCTGACAAGTGTCCTGAAGGGCACAGAGCAGGGAAAGGTCACACAGTGAGGACAGAGGGTCTCAGAGCAGGGGGTCAGGGAGGCATCTCCCAAGGACGCCCTGAGGGTGAGCAGGGTCTGAGGGCAGGGACGGGGTGAGGAGGACACACACCTGGGGAAGGGTAATCAAACAGAGGGAAGGACAAGGTCGGGGAAGCGGTGATGGCTGTCATATCCTGGCCTGGAGCCTGTAGGACACACACACATATCACACCCCAAATCTGAGGGATTCTGGACCCGCTCTGTCCAGGCCTCTCCTTTCCATGCCAATACTTCAGCCCAAATTTTGATCATTTTCTCTCACTTCCCTCCTAGCCTCATTCTTAACATTCGATGTCCCGCACATCACTGCGAAGCCTACTGTTGAATCAGAGCCTCTCGATGCTGCTGAGGGGCAGGATGTGATTCTGCGTGTCCGCAATCTGCCAGAGCGTTTTGGAATCTATTCCTGGTACAAAGGAGGAAAGGTGGATGGCAGTCAACGTATTGCATCATACAATGTAGCCACGGAAGAGGTTTTAAATGGGCCTGCACACAACGGTCGAGAGATCATGCACCCCAATATATCCCTGCTGTTCCAGAACGTCACCCAGAATGACACAGGAGACTACACCCTAAGATACACAAATAGAAGTCACGTTATGAAAGAAATAACCGGACAGCTCTGCATATACTGTGAGTAATTCTGCTCTGGCCTTTGGGTTTGGGGGGTAAATTCTGCTTCACACACATGGGACTCACAGGCCTGGCTCTGCCTCATCCCCCAACTGTGGGGTTGAGCATTTAGTTCAGGAAACAGAGAGTGGAGAAGGCTCATAAAACTGGAGCCCCTGCTGAAATCAGGACCAGTCCGATGGAGTGAAGAGCAGAGGAGGGGTCGGTCTCAGCCCCCCGGGCCCTTCCCATGACCACAACCCTAGAAACACCCTGAAAGTCTGTTTCCTGAGGCAGAGAGGAAAGCCCAGGAAGCCCGCACCTGTGCCTGGGGCCTCCTCCCAGGGCCTGAGGGCCTAGAGATTGGTGGCCGGAAGTCTCTCCTTAGTAGACTAACCACAGCATCTCTAGTAGTTTGGGGACTTTCCTCCTTTTACACAATTGAGGCACCCAGAGTTCTCCCTGGTTGAGTCTGTCACCCACGTCAGCATTTTCCTCTGATTGGTGCCTGATCCTGGCCTGACTACAGATCAGGGTCCAAGGTCCCAGACTGCTCTCCAAGGAGAATCCTCCAGAAACTGCTCCCAGGACCTCTGGGGCTTCAATCATGAGCTCACATATTCTCTCACAATTGAACTTGTCCAGTTCTGGGTCATAACTGCCAAACACAAAGGGCCCACCAGCCAGAGTCTCAGCAGGCTCATGTCTTACTGTCTACGAGTCACTCCTCTGTGTGGCTGTTGTACAGGAGGATGTCAGGAGAGACCAGCAGGGCCCTCAACCGCCCTCAGAGAGGAGACGTGGAAGACTGAGGACAGGGGACCTGGCTCTGCTGTACCAGCTCCTGCTGTCCCCTCACTCTGTTCTAGAACCTTCCTTCTCTGCTCTCCCTTCTCAGGTCACTGTCCTGTCAGTCACACCATCACCTGGGCAGGACTGCCCACCTCATGGTCCTGCAGCCTGGTCTGGCCCCTGTCCCTGTGTCATTTTTTTTTTAGATTTCATTTATTTATTTTTGCATAGAAGAAATGAGGTATAGGGCAGGGGGCAGTGGTTGAGAGGATTCACCAAAGAACAGACTGATCTACTGAAATACACTGCTGAGGGGAGCAGCAGGCGCAACAGGAGAGGTCTCCTGCACCATGTGGGTAGCTCCCTGGCCGGGGATCCAAGTAGTGCTGAAGTGGCTGCTGATAGCTTCATAGTGCTATGTCTTTAACTCCTTGCGTCACCAGTAAGGCCCCCCTGTGTCATTTCTGCTCAAACCTCCATGTTTGAGCAGCACATCAGGCCCTGCTGCCCCCACACTCGGGGTCTCAGGACTGTGGGTGGTGCCTCCTCACCCAGCTCTAGGAATCCCTGGGAAAGAGGCCTTAGTGAAAACACATCTCAACCCAGCAGTGCAGGCCTGTGCGGCTGGAGGGACCCAGCACCCCCATCCCAGGTGAGCACAGCAGGTCAGGCATCGCTGCTCAGTGACAAGCAGCAGGAGCAGGGCTCTGACTCCCGACCTGGGTTCCGTGTTAAGCCCTGACACTGACCTGATGCAGAGAAGGTCTGTCTTTGTCATCATGGAGCAGGTGGCCTCACGCTCTGAGCTCACACCCTCCTGCATTTGTCTGGAGACACACGCCCGCCTTGTGCTTAAGGACTCAGGTTGGCCCAGAGGTGAGAGATGCCAACTATATGCGGACACTTTGCAGGAGGCAGGGGACCTCAGGGCAATGTTCTCTCTGTTCCCCGCTCAACAGTGTTACCCAAACCCCACATCACAAGCAACAACTCGGACCCCGTGGAGCACGAGGACACCGTGGTGTTAACATGTGGACCTGAGACTCCGGACACAACCTTCCTGTGGTCCATCAACAGCCAGAGCCTCCCGAACAGCAACAGGCTGCAGCTGTCCAAGGACAACCGGACCCTCATGCTACTCCGTGTCACCAGGACTGACACGGGGCCCTATGTGTGTGAGACCCGGAACCCATTGTGTGCCCGCCGCAGCGACCCTCTCAGCCTGAATATTCTCTGTGAGTAACTCCTGTCCCGACACCTTGGGCTGCCCCACACCCACACAGCCAGAGCCCCGGCCCCATTGTCCTCCTCAGGTCCACGTGCACGGCCCTCCCCTGAACACCCGGGCTGGGCATGACTGGCTGTCCCAGGCAAAGCCAGGCAGGCCCAGCCTGAGCCAAGACTAGGAGGGGGGCTGCTTCTGGGCTGGGGGCCTCGGGCGAGTCCACAACCTGTGATGGAGGAGCAGAGGACTGTCTCAGACTCAGGAGCCAAACTCGGGGTTGGTGGTGGGACTTTTTCAAACAAGGTGAGATCTGCTTAGAGGGTCATTGTGGTCCTTGTACAGCCCAGGAGTTCCCTCTCTCTGATGCTATCACGTGTGCTTTATTCTCTTTGCTCCAGATGGCCCGGACACCCCCATCATTTTCCCCCCACAACCTTACTACACTCCGGGGGCAGCGCTCAGCCTCTCCTGCCATGCAGCCTCTAACCCGCCCGCACAGTATTACTGGCTGATCAATGGGAGGCCCCAGAATTCCACACACGAGCTCTTTATCCCCAACATCACTGAGAGTGACAGTGGATCCTACACCTGCCTGGCCCACAACAACGCCACTGGCCTCAACAGTGCCGTAGTCAAGAATATCATGGTCTCTGGTAAGTGGGTCCTTGGACCATCAGCACCATCTCTGGGTGGAGAACGTTGGTTTAGAAAAGAGACTGAAAGAAGTTACTCCCACCCATCGTGTCCATGGACACACAAATCCCAAATCTCTCGCTGAACTTCCCCCACCCTTCCACCCCTGAAACTTTCCCCTTGCTTTTGGGTTTCACATGACAGATGTGGGTCTATCCAGGAGGCGGGACTTCTCTCAGCCCCAAGCCCCAGTCATGGAGAGGTCTTCACAGATGGGGAAGGAAGAAAGGTTCTCAGGGTCAAATTTCTTTTTATGGTATTGATTTGCAGAAGCTCTTTATATATTCTGGATCTTAGTCTCTCTCTTTTTTGGTCACAGCTAAGAAATCATGCAAATCCAATTTCAAAAGAATTTTCCTGTGTTTCTTACAGGGCATTAACAGATATAGATATCTGATCCATTTTAAGTTAATTTCAGGGTGTAAGGCAAGGATCACATTTCATTACTTACACTGGATATTCTGTTTTCCCGACATAATGTCTTGAATAGATTTTTCTTCTTTGAAAGATATTGTCAACATTGCCAAAAATCATTACATCATATTTGTCGAGGCTTATTTCTGGATTTTCTATTCTATTCCATTGCTCTGCATTTCTGTTTAAGTAAAAATGTGGTTACTTATTCTTATGCTGTCAGTTTTGATATCAGGAATTATTAGTCCTCCAACTTTCTTCTATTTTAATAAGAATTTGATTGTTGGGGTCATTTGAGATTTCATATGCATATTGGGATATTGGCTTCTGCAAACTATTTTGTATAGGAATTGCACAGGATCTGTGGGTCCTGTGGATCCACTGTCATCTCTGCCATATGAAGTCTTCCCGCCCATGAGCACAGATGCCTTTCCATTTCTTTCTTTTTTTTTTTAATAAATACAGGCAAGCCTGAAGAGCCCTCACAGGCAGCCTGTCAGTCTTTTATTTTTTTAATATTTATTTATTTATTTATTTATTTATACAAGCACTGGTTACAGTCAGAAGCACGGGAGGGTGAGAGAATTCACCAGAGCCAGAGCGGGGAGCAGAGCAGGCAGACTGAAGCACACTACTGAGGGGAGCAGCGGGTGGCAGGAGAGGTTTGCGCGCCATGTGGGAATGTGGGACCCTCCTCCGGTGGCTGGGGAGCAGCCGGGGATCGAACCGGCACTGCAGAGGCTGCGGGCAGCTTCGCAACCCAGCGCTCAACCGCTGCGCCACCGGGGAGGCCCAGCCTTTCCATTTCTTTATGTCTCCTTTAATTCTTCTCAGAAACCTTTGGTGTATTTCCATGTACAAGTCTGTTGTCTCATTGGCTAAGTTTATCCCTATGTATTTTATTCCCTGATGTTCCTTTAAGTGGAATTGTGCTCTTGATTTTTTTTCACAGTAGTTCCTTGTGGACCTCCTGGGTGGCATAGGGATTAAGTCTCAGCACTGTCACCACTGTGGCCTGAGTTCAATCCCCGGCCAGGGAGCTGACCCACAGGGCGCAGCAGACCTCTCCTGTCTCCCTGCTGCTCCCCTCAGCAGTGTATTTCAGTCCATCTGCCTGTTCTGCTCCCCACTCTGTCTCTGGTGAATCCTCTCACCCCCCTACCTCTGGCCTACAGCCCAGTTCTTGTATGCATTAAAAAAAAAAATCCAAATAGTTTATTGTTAGTGTGGAGAAACACAACTGATACTTGTGTGTTGGTTTTTGTATCCTGCAGCCTTCTTCAACTTCTTTATTATTTCTCATGGATTTGTGGACTCTAGGGTTTTCTGCAGTTAAGTTCATACCATCTACAAACACACCTAGCTGCACTTCTCCTATCGAGGAGGATGCCTCTCTTTCTTTTTCTTGACCAATTGTTCAAGCTTCTACACCAGTCCTGTGCTGATGGGGGAGGGGAAAGTGCGGCCTCCTTCTTGACCCTAGGGGTTAGCTTCAGGGCGTCCCCATGAGGTGCTGCTGAGGGCCTTTCAAGAGGCCTTTGTTATGTTGCAGGAGTTTCCTTCTGTTCCCAGAGTGTGCCCCCTCCTCTAGATTGTTTCTTCAGACTGAGAAAGCAAAGTCCTGTGTTCAGTGAGAAGTCATTGGATTGCAGACTCTTGGTCCTAAGGTCATGAAGACTGGGAGGGGCGTCCTCATTCCCTCATCAGTATTTGACCAGGAGTAAAGTCCTTTCCTGTTTTATGTGAGGCTGCCCTGGCCGCAGATGGGCAGGACTGGCAAGCTGCCTTCCCACATACCCGGAAGTTCACATGAGGACCGGGGAAGAAACAGAGTCCAGGGAACAAATTCCACCCGAGGATGAGGTTGCTGGACACCTGGGATGAGAAGGGGTTCCTTGATGCCCAGAGGGATTGTTCAGAGGTCACCCTGGGGTCAGAGGGCTGTTACAGCCCTCTCCTTACATATCATCACCTGAACACACTCACCTCCTGCAGGGGTCAGGTCCATCCTCTGTGGCCTTTTACAGCTTCACTGTGGCCTGTGAGAGGCTGTGATCTGAGAAGGGAGCGTGGCCCAGGCCCAGGCCCAGGCCCACTCTCAGTCAGGCACCTCCGCTGTTTCTCAACAAACCCAGTGGCCCTGCCCTCCATCCAAGCCAGCAGCACCACAGACACTGAACAAGGAGCCCGTGGTCCTGACCTGCCTCACAAGAGACACTGGGATCTCCATCCTGTGGCTCCTCAGTAGCCAGCGTCTGCGGCTCACAGACAGGATGACGCTGTCCCAGGACAGGAGCTCCCTCCCCATCAGCCCTGTCAGGAGGGAGGATGCCGGGGAGTATCAGTGTGAGGTCTCCAACCTGGCCAGTTCCAGCAGAAGTGACCCCCTCACCCTCACTGTGAATAGTGAGTGACCCTTAACCTCTCCTGCTTCCCCTTGTACATCTCACTGGTGGAGGGAGGTGTGAAATGGAGGAGCCTTGAGGAGTGGGCGCCTCCTCAGAGCCTGTGGGGCAACATGGGGAAGAACCAGAGTTAAGCCAACCTTGCTGGTTCTGATGACCCAGCTTGTTTCAGGCAAGACTCAACCTCCTAAGCCTCAGTTTCCCCATCTGTCAAACTGGAATAGAACAGCTGGCTTTCAGGCTGTCGTGAGGGTGTTATTAGGAGGCTAATAAAATGAAATCACGTTGTCAGGCTCGTACAGAGTCAGAGCACAGGTGTGTTTTCAACTAGTATTTATTATTTCAATTTGTGAAAATTAACATTTTATACACTGGTCATCCCCCAGAACGTGGTCGCTGTTTTATCTCTTTTGCTCTGTGACCCCTGTACTATTTCAGGATTTCTGTCAGGTTCTGATTATGCAGCGTGGGGCTGACACCCTCTCCTTCCTGGAAGGAGGACCAGGTGAGGGAATGGAAAGTTCTTCCGCGAGCCTGGCACAGGCCGACCAGGACACATCGGCTCATATTACTATTCCTCGTCAGCGCTGAGGTGACGGTGGGCTCTGCCCTCAGAGACTGCCGCCCACAGTGACGGGACAGGGAAGAGGGACGAACAGAGGGTGAGAAGAGAGGCCTTGAGGAACATGGCGGGAAGCGGTACGGCTGCGTGTGGGAGAATGTGAGGGGTGCAGCAAGTGCAAGGTCTCGGCTGTGAGAGCGAAGGATGCAGCAGCCGGGAGGGGCGTCTGGAGATACTGAGGACGACACACAACCTCACACAGACCAGTGACCTTTCCTTCCCCTCGCCAGGCCCTTCCTGTCAGGCTCCTCGTGGTGCCCCTGGAATGGCCCTGGGCTCATGTCCCCTTTCTCTTCTCCTTTCAGCAGAAGGAGACACCACAGGCCTCTCTGCAGGGGTCATCGCAGCCATCGTCATCGGGGTTGTGCTGGCAGCCGCCCTGGGGTGTGTCCTGGTTTGCAGAAGGTCTGGCAGGTACGAGGGCATTTCCCACATCCGATCCTGTCCTGGGCCAGAAGGAGGACACCCTGTCCTTGTTTTCTGGGCATGGCTCCCACGGCCTCCACCTCCCTGTGCCTATTCCCTCTCACCCCATCCCCTCCTCCCTCACCAGCTGCTGGCCTGGGGCCTCCTCAGAGCCTCCTCATCTATCCATGAGCTCAGGGAAGACCCCCTCAGTGTTGTCCTTGTCCCTCAGCAAACAAACCCCCAGCAGGGAGGTGGGAAAGGGCTCAGTAGCAGCACCCCCTGTTTTGCTAAATCCATCCTCCCCTTGAGGGGCCTGTGCAGCCCAGGCAGGACCTGTTCTGAGAAGGTTCCAGGGGCTCTGAAGCCTCTTCCTTCTGTTCCAGGAGTTACTGCACCCCGACACAGACAGATCTGAGGGTGTCCTGGCCAGGTCACACACAGGGGGCAGAAGAGCCTGGAAAGACAGGGTAGGGTCAGATGCCCTCAGGTGGGAGAAGTGTTGACCCCAGCCCCTGAGGTGTGAGGTGGGAGCAGGTGGGAACACAAGACTCAGACTCTACATGTCAGGTGAGGGTGAACCTACTGACACAGTCAGTGTCTCCTGGCCAGGAAGGGGGAGTCTGCTCACAGCAGGGGTACCTCATTCAGGGACACCCACATACCTGGACTCTCTGAGTGTCCAGCACACACCTGGCCCTGCTGTCCCTCTGAGGCTCTGACCTTTTGCTCAGCCAAACCTCAGTCGGATACCTCTCCTGGGTCCCTCCTCCTTCTGGGGTAACTTCCTCCTGAACCCCCATCAACTGCAGGTCCTTCCCCTCTGGGTCCAGGACAGATGTTGCTTCTTCAGACCTTTCCTGAGCCCCCTCTGTGGGCCCTCCCCTCCTAAACAGCACTGGGGGAGGAAGGGAGTTTCCACATCCTGCTGAGAAGGGGCACCCCCCTTGTCCCCTGTCCTGCCACCAAAACTGTGCCCTCTCCTCACCTCCCCTCACTAATAATCCGGCCTTTCCTCCAACCAGCGACAAGCACAGCCTCCCAGAGCGCCGGCCCCCAGCACCCACCCCTGGTGAGTGTCACACAAACTTGGAGACCCTGGAGCAACCCCTGTCTTGTGTCTGCTCCTGCCTGTCACCCCTGCTCTCTGACTGTTTCCTATTAAAATTCAGAGAAGTTTTCAAAATCTACTTAGCACAGGCGACCCTGACTATCAGCCAACCTGATTTGTGATGTGTGGGTCGTGGGTCTCCACGTGGCTCTCACTGGACTCTGGTAGAGTCTCCTTCACCCCTAGTATCTGGGGGTCCCGGACACCAGCCCCACTGCTGGGCGGGCCCAGGTTCCCCCCCGCCCCCACTCGTGCTAACTCCTGTCTCTGCTCCCAGGCTCTGCTCCCTCAGGCTGCTCCGCCTCCTCGGTAAGCCCACCCATCCGTTCTGCCTGGGGTCCTGCTGCACAGGCTCAGTGTGGGCTCAGTCCCCCAGCATAGCAGATGCCCTGTCCCCCAATCAGCTGGGACCAGGCGCTCTGGGCTGGGCTGGACCCATCTTCGGGGAAGGATGACTCCCTCCTTGCTCCCCTCACTCAGCCTCTGGGGACCCTGGAGTCCAGTCAGCAGCAGGGTGGGTGCTGGGGCATTAGTCAGGTGTTTTGGACTAACAGAAGTATAGGGGTACAGCCAGGACCAGCACTGGGGTTCAGGGTTGTCTCGTGAAGTCAGCTGCTCTGGAGGCAGAGCTGGTCTATGGGCAGTGACCCTCCCTAACACCTGACTCCTGCTCTCTCCCCCTGCCCAGGCCCCCCAACTTGACATCAAGCCAGATGTTCCCATCTATGAGGTGAGTGCGGGTGATGCGTGTCCTGTCCTGCAGGCCGTGGGAGCCCAGCATCTGCCCCCTGCAACCCCTGGCTGTGTTTTCATATCAGGGAACAGCAGGGAAAGGGGAACAGGGGGTGGTTGAGGAGGGTGTGACCCGGGGGCAGGAAAACCCCTCTCTGCACATCTGGGACCCCTCACAGAGGAGCCCTGAGTGGGCCCAGGCAGGACCTGTTCTGAGAAGGTTCCAGGGGCTCTGAAGCCTCTTCCTTCTGTTCCAGGAGTTACTGCACCCCGACACAGACATCTACTGCCAGATCATCCCCAGGGCACAAGAGGCTTAGCTTCTTCTGGGTCCTGTTAGGCCTGTTCTCTTAGGCCTTTCAGAGGGCCCCACTGCCACCCCAGAATTGGGGGACATCAAGAGCTACAAGATGACCTCGAGAGCCAGAATTATAAATGGGATATTCCGAACACTGGACCAGGGCTTGGGGTCCCTTTTGATTTTCTGGAGACCCCAACACACTGTTCTGAGCCCTAAGTGAGCCTGGACAAAGGCCATCAAGCACCAGGACGTGGGCAGCTCCCAGGAAGTGTCCAGGCCTGTGACCCACTGGGGACTGCCTGACAGGGGCTGAATAAAGGGAACCTCCCCGTTTGCTCCCCGTCTCCTCGTGGGAACTTGTAGGCAGATATTTCCCTGGCGCCGGCCATTCCTCCTGGGCCTCACGGGGAAAATCATGATCTCTTAGGTCCTCCCCGAAGCATGTGTCTTCCCGGGGAGGGGGGTTGCAGACAGGGAGGGACGATGCTCACAGAAGCTGAGCTCACAGAGGCCTGTCCGCCTAGAGGGCGCCCGCTGTCCTCACTGCCCAGGGCCAAGGCCGTGGGCCCCTCCCAGCTTCGCCCCTTGGAGGCTCGGGAGCACAGAAGACGGGTGCGGGGACACACAGATGAGCAAGGAAGGCACAGCAGTGGGGGGCACACCTCCTGGGCGGGGGCCCCTCCACACCCTCTGGGTCCCCTGTGACCTCTGTGCACAGAGTTGGAGAGTGACCCAGCTTCATTCTTTTGGATGTGGCCTCCCTGCTTCCGGCACCTTTGTTAGAGGCGCTGCTTTCCCCAGGCCGTCTTGCCGTCTTGCCTCTCTTATCATGAATCAGCTGCCTGTGGTGTGACCTGCGTTTGTTCGTGGTGGTGACTGTTTCTCTTCAGGGCCTCAGTTGACCTTTGCTCCACAAAGTCAGGGAGACAAGTATTGAAAATGCCAGGACACCTTGGGGCATTTTGGGAGGCCAGTCCAGACCTGCCCACACGGCCCCGGAGCTGCGTCAGCACCAAATGGCTCCCCAGACATATAAGACCGTTGGGAGAGAAGCCCTCGGATCCTCAACTGCTCTGATATGGAAGCAGAAGCAGAACCTGGGTGTCTGCTCCCATTCTACACAGAAGCCCCCATGTCCCCCAACTCACTGACTTGGGGGCAGTGTTCAGGGTCCATAGCCAGGGGTCACCTGAGACCATGCAGTCACCCCTGTCTTTCCCTGGCCTGGAGGTAACTTCCAGGGTGGGGAACCCCGGGTCTGAGCCAGGTAGGGTCTCTGAAGGGAAGGGACAGAGGCTGCTGGCGTAGGCCCTGCAGGAGACAGTCACTCACAGGAAGAAATCGGGGTGTGTGTGTCTGTTTTCTGGGAATGAACAGGGATCTGACCCCGCACTGTTCAGAGGCCCTGTCCCCACTCCTGACTCCAGCAAGGTGAAGTCCCTGGGCAGTGGTGGGCATCACTGGCCTCCCCCTGGCTGATGCCGGTGCCCCTGTGCCTACAAGGGAGGTGTCTGACCCCCAGGGGTCACTGTGGCTTCCTCCTCCAGGTATGTGCAGAGCCTCCAGCAGCGCAGACTGACTGGACCTGGGAACGCCACAGAGAGCAGGACACGCCTGGTCCCTGCACCTGCTAAAAAGTCATGCAGCTAAGCGTTAACGAGAATGGAGACAAGGGCCGGGAAGGACAGTGGCCGGTGCTTCCCATTCCACAGTGGGTGTCAGCTGTTCTGGGGATCACGGAGAATGCCCTGAGAGGTGTGGGTTGATCCTAACAGGTGAGTGTATGTCAACTCTATAGGGCAAGGCAGGAGGGGGGCGCTGCCTGAAGGACAGGCCACCAGGGGCAGACGCCTGACCGGGGTTGGGGCTGAGTCCACTGTGGAGAGTGGACAGCGAGGCGGCCTGTGGCTGAGGAGACGTGGGCGTCAGGCCCCGGCACGTGGACCAGGCAGTGGCGTCAGCGTGGCGCTGTCGCCGCCTTGTGGACACGGACGGAATTGCAGAAGCTCTGATCTCTGCTGCTCACTTTTTTTTTTTTTTATCATCTAAAACAACTTGTTTATTAGGAAAAGCAGAAGGAAAAACAGACCCCTGCACAGTCACAAGCGGGCAGCACAACTGCTGCTCCGACTCATTATTCAAACAATCAGTGGACATTGTCCATGGTTCACACATCCGGCAGATGCTCCATCATGTCCAGCTCATGAGTCCCTGCTCCCCATAATCTCCTCCCTGCCCCACAATGAGATGTCACCCTCTCAGATTGCAGGCAGGTGTATCATATCTCCAGTCATTGAGCCCCTGGGAACGTGTCCTACCTGGGACCTGAGTGTGAGGGCTGATTGGACATTCACTGAGTTATAGGTGGAAAGATTTAGGAAGGAGCTGTCAAAGACATGCCATCAGGGACAGATGCCTGACCTGATGGCTGAGAGTCCAGTGTGGGGGGTGGACAGCGAGGAGGACAGTTGAGGTGCTGTGAGAAGCAGACCCCTGGGATGTGGACCAGGCTGAGTGGGGTCTGCAGCCCTGGGGAGGCTGCAGGTGCGTAGTGACTCTCGCTGTCTTGTGGACATGGGCAGAATTGCAGAAGCTCTGATCTTTCAATTAAAAAAGAAACATTTACAATAAACTTGTTTATTAGGAAAAGGAGATAGAAATGAGAGGCCCCTGCACAGTCACACATGAGTGGCATGGCTGCTGCTCCGTCTCCTTATTCAAACAATCAGTGGACATTTCCGGTGGGTCACATCCTGCTGATGCTCCATCATCATGAGTTCCTGATCCTCATAACCACCTTCCTCCCCCCCTCCCCAGTGAGCTGTCACTGCTCAGACTGCAGGAATGGATGTCAGCGTGTGTCCAGTCATTGAGCTCCTGTGAATGTGTTCTCTAAGGGATCTGAATATTAGGGCGTATTGGACATTCTCAGTTACAGGTGGAAGGCTTTAGGGGAGAGCTGCCTGACACCGACGGGCCAACAGGGCAGACGCCTGACCCAAAAAGGGGCTAAGGGTCCAGTGTGGGGACTGGACAGCGTGGACGCCTGTGGCTGAGGTGCCTTGGACGCCAGACTCCTGAGTTGTGGACCAGGCTGAAGTGGGGTTAGCAGCCCTGGGGAAGCTGCAGGTGTAGTGGCTCTGTCGCCATCTTGTGGACACGGCGGGAACTGCAGGCTCTGCAGCAGTTCTGATCTGCGTGAGAGGGTTTGTTTTTAATTATTTTATTTACTTATGCATACAAAAGCTGGGGTCTAGGCCAACCAGAGGTGCGGGAGTGGGAGCAGAGCAGGTGAATCTACTGAAATGCACTGCTGAGGAGAGCAGCGGGCAAGACAGGAGAGGAGAGGTCTGCTGTGCCATGTGGGGGCATGCAGCTCAGGCTGCAGTGGCTGCTGATGGCTTGATAGCGCTGAGAATTTAACCCCTCCGCCACCAGGGAGGCCCTGTTTTTAAGATGTTAAAAGAACTTGTTTATTAGGAAAAGGAGAAGGAAAAAGAGAGTTACCTGCGTCGTCACGAGGGCACGGCACAGCTGCTGCTCCGCCTCATTTTTCTGACGATCTGTGGACATTGTCCATGGGTCACACACTCCGCAGATGCGCCACCATGCTTCTGCTCACGAGTCCCTGCTCCCTATAATCTCCTCCCTCCCCCACATGAGCTGCCACTGCTCAGACTGCAGGAATGGATGTCAGCGTGTGTCCATCACTGAACCCCTCTTCTGCCAGGGACCTATCAGGGCTGATTGGAAGGAAATTCACTGAGATATAAATGGAAGTGTTAGGAGTGAATGGCAAGGACGGGCCGTCAGGGAAGGTTCCTGGCCCGATGAGGGGCCGAGAGTCCAGTGTGGGGAGTGGACAGCAAGGAGTCTTGTGGCCGAGGTGTTCTGAGGGTCAGACCCCTGGGACGTGGACCGGGCTGAGTCCTGGGGAGGCCGCAGGTGCGTCGTGGCTCTGTCGCCGTCTTGTGGACACGGGAGGAATTGCAGCAGCTCTGATCTCTGCTGTATTTTGTTAAAATTTACAGGAACTTGTTTATTAGGAAAAGGAGAAAGAAAAGAGGCCCCTGCACAGTCACAAGCGGCGCAGCTGCTGCTCCGTCTCTTTATTCAAACAATCAGTGGACACTTCCCGTGGGTCACACGTCCTGTAAATGCTCCGTCGAGTTCGTGAACCTCTATCTCAGCCCCGCCTGCGCGGCGCCTCGGCGCGGCCTCCCGCTCCCCAGGCCCGCGCTTCCCGGGCGCCTCCCGCTCGCGGCGGGGCTGAGCGTGTCCTGCGCGACTCCGCGCGTTGAGGACTCTGGGGGACCTGGCAGGGTCCCCACCCTTCGCCGGGAGACGAGGCGGGGCGCTGGGGGGACCGCGCTTCCCTGGCAGGAAGCAGCCCCCGGGGCGCCCCGACCCGCCGCCGCCTCCCGCGGACTGTGGCCGCGCGCGGAGCTGCCCGACGGCGGAGGCGCGCCCCAGGAGCCGCTCTCGCCGGGGGACGGCGGGATTAGGGCACCCGCGGGGGGGCCCACACTGTACCCGAGACGCCGGACCTTCTGGGTCACGGGGACGCGCCCCGGGAGCGGCTTAAGCCCGACGGGACCCCTGAGCCGCTGCGGGGCGCACCCGGGCGCGGGCGGCGTCTGGCCGCTCTCCTGACCCGGCCCGCGGCGGGTGAACCCCGGGGGAGCTGCGCGGGGGGAGGCTCCGCGGGGGGAGGCGCCCCGGCTCCCAGCAGAAAGGGCGTCCTCGCCGGGGGGTGCTGAGACGGGCTGGGGGGCCGCGGGGGCCGGGGGGTGACGCCGTCGGGGACAGGGCAGGGCCGGCCTCGGGGCGCCCGCGAGCAGCGGGTGGGGTTGGAGCCCGGGAGAAGCTTCCAGGACGCGAAGCTGCGCCTCGCCGAGCCCTCCGACGTGGGGGCCGCCTCCCTGCCCTGTCCTGGGGTTCACTCCCGCCAGGGGATCCGCGGCGCGACGCCGAGGAGCGATCACCCGGCTCAGGCGCCCCCGGGGGCTCATTCACGAGCGACCCCCCGGCGCGCGAGGAGGCTCCCGATGGCCCCCGCCGGGTGCGGGCGGGGAAGGGCGGGCTCTGTGAGCAGCGGGGCCCGGGGGCCTGGCCGGACGCGGCCCGTGTGGAGCGCGGGGTCCGGGGAAGGGCGCGGCGGGAAGCTGCGGACAGGGAGGTTCAGGTCACCACGGGGGCGCGCGGAAGGGTCGGCGCGCGCGCAACTCCGCGGCCCTCGGCCCCTGCCGCGCCCCCTCCCTCCCGGGGGCGGTGCCGGGGGCGGCGCCGGGGGTGCAGGAGGGCGGCTCCCGTGGGGCCGAGACGCGGCTCCCGGGACCCCCTCCCCGCGGGGCTCCCTGCTCCCCCCGGCGGCGGCCGCGCCCCGGCCCGAAAGCGGCGGTTCCCCCGGCGGGCGGCCCGGCGGGCGGCCCGGCGGGCGCGCGGGGCTCGGGACGCCGCCCCGTGGGCGCCGGAGCCCGAGGCGGAGCGGAGACGCCGCCGCGCCTGGAAGCTGCGGAGCCGGGGGCCTCGCCCCAGACGCCCCGAACTCCGGACCGTCGGGACCGTGAGTTGCCGCGCGCGGGCTTCAGGGAAGTTGTTTTTCAGCAGCCGCGGGGAGCGCGTACGCCCCGACTCCCTTCCCCGGGTCGCGGGGACCCCCGCCCCGTCCCGCCCGGGGCATCTCTGCTCCAGGGCGGGGAAGGACCAGGCGCGGGGGGTTCGTGTAGCCCGGAGGTGACGCGCGTCGGAGGTTCTGTGGGGGCCGCGCGCGAGGCTGGTGCCCCTGAGCCGCGTCTGGCCTCGGGAGGAAGGTTCACCGCCGCTTGCTGCTGCTTAGAAAACAAATATGAAGGTTAAAAAATAAAAAAAGGAATTAGACCAATAAATGTAGCTGCCAGTCAGGATTTCAGCTTTGCAAAGGAGTGGAGGCAGAAAACATTCGGGGCGACCAGATGTTGGGGGGGCGATATGGGTGCGGGGGATGAAAAGGTGCAAATTTCCCGTTAGAAAATGCGTCACCCAGCAGGGGCTGGAGCGGGAGGTGGGGTTGGGTGGGAGAGGGGGGTGTGAAGGCCTCAATAACAAAAGAAACTTATTTCAGAATATTAAACAGCCGAGCAGCCAGCGGGTCGGGAGCTGTGCCGCACCCCCGGGGACCGAGTCAGGACTGTGCTGTCGCAGGCGTGAAAGGTGCTGCGAAAAGACGGTAAATGCTGTGGTGGCCACTTTGTCGTGTAGACAGTTGTCGCATTCTGTTATATTCATTGAAATGCAATAACGTCGGTTTTGTACATCAGTAGCGCATGGAACTGAGGCGGTGCTGTGTGGGGGATTATGACCTTTGCACATCTCACAAGCACGTTTGCTAAGATACTTTGATGAGGCAGATTAGCCTCTGCTTTGCAGCTGCCAGGAAACAAGGTCCTGGGCTCCAGCAGGTGACAGTGGCGCACCCTTCCATCCTCAGGGCCCCCCTGGGAGGTGGGCGGATTGTTATTCTCAACTTGCAGACGGCACAGACACTATCCGGCCAGAATGGCAAAGCCCTGATTTTCCTCCAGCACCCACTCTGGTGACCAACACATTCCCAGCCTCCCCTTCGCACATTTCCCAGGCAGTTAATGTTAAAGGGGTTGGCCCTGTTCCTTGTGCTGGGGTCTGGAGACAGGGCAAAGCAAGGGCTGCACACACGGCTCTCTCCTGTGAGCTTCATTCTGTTGGTTCCGGGTTTCTCTACCAGCTTCCTCCACTACAAAGGCAATAAATTTCTAGTTTTGTTTTTAACTTTTTAAAAAAAGATTTATTAATTTTTATACAGGAGCTGGGGTACAGGCCAGAGGTGCAGGAGGGTGAGAGGATTCACCAGAGACAGAGCAGGGAGCAGAACAGGCAGAAGGACCGAAATCCACTGCTGAGGGGAGCAGTGGGCGAGACAGGAGAGGTCTGCTGCGCTATGTGGGACTCTTCGTGGCCGGCCAGTATCGAACCCGCGCTGCAGAGGCTGCGGACAGCTTCACAGCGCTGCGCTCAACCCCTGTGCCACCTGGGAGGCCCAATTTATAGTTATGAATAAGGGTGATGGAGATTTTTACTGTACATCAACCACATTTTATCTAAAAATATTTTTCAGATTGTTTCAATGATTTGAAAAGGAAGGCCTCGCCTTTGGAGATACTGGCTTTTGCAAATGGAAACTCTCAGGGTTTAGTCTTGTAAGTTTCCATTACATTGTATACCGCAGGCATTTCACACACTCACCCTTTATTCTTTCAGAGAAGAAAAATTATGTGCTCCATCGCAGCATGAATGTTAAATACTTTCAAATAAAAGACTAAGCAGCAATCACTCTTTGGCTCCTTCCTTTGGCCCGCCCCCTCTCATCCCCGCTCTGAATTGCCCTTACTCTCGGCTGTTGCCACTTTACCGCGTCTCACCACCAGGCAGCTTGCTCCGGCCCTGCCGGCCCTTGGCGGTCGTGGAGTGCCTTCCCCTTGCCGTGGGAGCCGCTCTCTATTGTGCCCTTTATGCTCCCCCTCGCAACTCATGGGTAAAACCCACACTGCTAGAGCGGCACGAAACGGTGGAGGAAGGAGCAGCTTATGGGTCAAATTAAACGGACCGGAGGGAGGGAACGGGGACTGGAAAGATGACGGTCTGGAGAAGGGCCGGACATGGAAGTGGTGGGAGGAAGGAGGGGCTCCGGGGGCAAAAAAAAATTACGGGAGAAACGGAGAGCGCCGCCTTGTGGGCTGGGGTGGTATCGTGGGAAAATATTGGCGGTGCAAAAAAAGAAGGGCCCCCGTCGGAAAAAAAAAAAGACAGGGAAAACGGAGAGCGCCGCCTTGCGGACTGGGGTGGTATCGTGGGAAAAATATTGGCCGTGCAAAAAAAGAAGGGCCCCCGTCGGAAAAAAAAAAAAAAAAAAAGGAAAGGGGGGAAAACGGAGAGCGCCGCCTTGCGGACTGGGGTGGTATCGTGGGAAAAATATTGACGGTGCAAAAAAAGAAGGGCCCCCATCGGAAAAAAAAAAGGACAGGAAAAAGGGACAGCGCCGCCTTGTGGACTGGGGTGGTATCGTGGGAAAAATATTGGCCGTGCAAAAAAAGAAGGGCCCCCATCGGAAAAAAAAAAAAACAGGAAAAACGGATATCGCCGCCTTGTGGACTGGGGTGGTATCGTGGGAAAACAGTGGTCTGAAATAACTAAGGGACCGGAAGTCGTTGGAGGAAAGAGGGGCTCCTTGGGCCAAAAAAAAGGACGGGAAAAACGGACAGCGCCGCCTTGTGGACTGGGGTGGTATCGTGGGAAAATAGTGGTCTGAAATAACTAAGGTACCGGAAGTCATTGCAGGAAAGAGGGGCTCCTTGGGCCAAAAAAAAGGACGGGAGAAACGGACAGCGCCGCCTTGTGGACTGGGGTGGTATCGTGGGAAAATAGTGGTGTGAAATAACTAAGGGACCGGAAGTTGCTGGAGGAAGGAGGGGCTCCTGGGTCAAAACAAGGACGGGATAAACGGAGAGCGCCGCCTTGTGGACTGGGGTGGTATCGCCGGAATATAGCCGTCTGAAACAACTAAGTGACCGGAAGTCATTGGAGGAAGGAGGGGATGCCGCGGGGGGGGGGGGTCCTGGGGGGCGGGGGGGGGTCCTGGGGGGGCGGGTGGGGAGGGGCAAAAAAAGGACGGGAGAAACGGACAGCGTTGTCTCATCGTTTGAAGGGGGTCACGCGGTACGAAGCCCAGGCTGATGGCAGCACACAGGCGGGAGAGATGGGGGAGGAATAGTGCAAAGGGCAAAATTATAAAAGAGGGTTGATGAGACATGATTGAGGGCTGACGGGGAAAGGAAATGTCCCTATGGGGCCAAGTGCATAAAAATGGAGGTCCCTGCTTGGTGGCAAGTCAGAGTGATGCAGCAAAAGCCTGAGAAATGACAGCAAGTAAGGCGGAGGGTGGCTAATGTCGTAGATTGGTGGGAACAGAGCAAGCTACATGGTGGTGAGGAGTAAAGTGGCAAAGGGTGGGAATGCTGACAGTTCCCAGTGGGAATGAAAGGAGGCCAAACAAGATGAGGGGCTCTGCCAGGTGGAGGAAGGAATGGTATCAAAAGCCTGGAGGAAGGCAGCTAGAAAGAATGAAACGTTCCAAGGGTGAGATCCTAACATGTACTCTCATTCGCTGCTG